CACTAGCCCCATCTGAATTCCCCCAGTGCTCTCTGTGTGTAACACTGCTGTCACCTTGTCTTTAGCTCAGCTGCTCTGTATACGAACGTGGTGGTTTAGGATCACTCATCGGGTTATTAGATATACCATATAGTCCAGCGATATTGCTTTCTTGATTTCCGACGGTTCTTCTGAGATTCCTGCCCCCATCTATGATGATGCGTGTTCTGGGGCAAGCCAAGATTTCTGCAACGACTGGTATCTCTTGTTTTATCCTGTTCGGAGTTTTGGTACAAGCCCTTGATCGATTTGGCTCTTTTATATCTTTTGAAGTTTTTACCAAACCGTTTGTTTGTCCCTTATACTCGTAAATTGATCGCAGAGGTTGCTACCACTATTCTGTTTGTTTGTTTCAGTTTGAGAGTTTCATGTTATGCCTTTATGAATTGTTTTATTCCGCTTTTCCTATCGTTTTGGAGTCAGTTTGCCAGTCACTGGCGTCTCCTGTCTTGCTGTCCACCACCGTGCAAAGATTGTGTCTGTTGGCCAATTGGGTGAGCAGCTGTGTCCGGCATGTCGAATCAATAAGCATGCCACTATCCCTATCAGTATCACTGCCGACAAAATCATTAATTTTGTATGCACTGCACTCTACTCCCCTCTAGTTGAGGGGCAGCTACCATGGTTACAGGCAGACTCAGTAGCCATGCCTCTCGCTCTGCCCAAATCACCTGGTCACCGCGCCAGCAGCAGGCGACAACTAACTTTCACACCAAGGTTCAACTCGAGTTCAACTCGAGTGACAGGACTGCACCCAAAAAAGGTCAAACAGGCTAGTAACTTACGTAGTAGTAAGCTGTACCCTGCAGGCACGGTGACCAGGTGACTGGTGTACGCAGGAGCACGTGACCGCTTGTTCAACCATGTTCGATTGGGAATAAAGGAGGAACGCTGCATCGCAGCCTTTTCGGACCAAAACCAGTCGACTCAGCGTCCAAAAGACTACAACATATGGGCCAATCGCGGTCATCCGTGCTTTTATAAGAACGAAATGGCGCTTTTAGTGACATTTTGCATACAAATCCCCATCTAGTAGGGCGCAGTCACCCAGTTTCGGTGGAAGTGCGCGAGTTCGATTGGGATTCAAGTAGGAAGGGAGCGTCGCAGCTTCCTCGGACCAAGACCATTCGACTCAGCACCCAGAAGACTACAACTGGTGAAAATTTGATTTTAGGGTATACTTCCCCTTTAAAATTAGTTACGTGACCGAAGCCAAAGGCAAAGGCAAAGGCCCGTCCGGTAGATCGACTGGCACTGTACCATTACATGTGGTACCAGTAACCATGGTAACCTGGGTGTACACATGGTACAGCGCGGTGTGGACAACGCTGCACAGTAGATCTACTGTCAGTAGGCGCCAGGCCTTGCTTTGTGCCAGAGCTGCAGAGGGAGAGAGGCCAGCCAACCACGGATTGCCGAGGTAGGTGCTAGTGTCAGGGACACAGCTCGCACCAAACTACACTACACTGCTTGCTTCGCCTTTGCCGCTGTTTTCAGCGCGATGTACGGACGTTCCGGGACCCACACTTGCCAAGTAAAACTGTCATCCCGTTATTTTATTGTTTCGACATCGAGCAAGGAACCGGTTGCCAATCTTCATCCTCTTAGGCTTAGCTTCACCAATATTCTCCGTGTGGTTATGTCCTCGCAGGCCGACCCACCCTGCCGGGCAGGGTCCACAGGCGTTAGTGCTGACAGTGGTGGAAAGGTTCACCTTTGGCTGTTGTTGGACTCCTCTTCTCTAAGTTCTATTCAGATAAGATAGAGGCTCATCATAGAGCCCATCATTTATATTGTAGTGCCTGTTATTGCCTTTTGAGCTTCGACCAAACTCGCCGACTTCTTCTCTTCTTCACCGCCACACTCCGAGAAGCCGACTGAGCCAGTTGCCCGAGCAATGAGTCAGTCCGTGATGACGAGAGACCTAGCCGGCTGTACTTCAGTTCCCTGGGAAAGCGGCCGCGTGACACAAGACGCTAGTGGACGATGCGGATGAAGGCCATGGCCAGGGAGCTCCGGAGCCCTACGCGCACTGCACTGCACTGGTGACCAAAGGCAAAGGGCAAGCGCACTGTGTGCTCCCCAGTATGTCTGTAGATAAAGCTGATAAACTGTAATCCAGTACACGCGTGCCAGACTTTCGCGGTGAGCCCTCCGACGAGACGATAATTGACGGCCACTGTCGAAGCCAAGTAGATCTACGCTCGAGGTACAACTCGTGGTCAAAACTAGTTGACGAAAGAGCGATATGACCAGCAGTGACAGTGACTTGTTTCTTGTTTCTTTTTAGTTTGCATGCAGGTCTGGTCTTCGTCTCCCCACTGTAGCATCTCGCTCCAGGTCGACTCTACTTCGGGTTGTCGCTACGGGCGCACACGTGATCAAGATTGCAGGAGAGAAAGCGTCTCGCGTCTGCAGTGGCCCGCGGTGCAAGCCAGTGCGCAGTGGCAGTGGGCCTGGTGGACTTGGGCCAATGCGGCAATGGCAATACAAGTAAGTATGTTGGGGGATGGGGGTATGGATCAGTCTGTTGTGTAGTGTGGTCATTCAGCCATTTGTCCTGATGCTATGCTATTGTCATCTGACAGGGGCGTACCCAAGGGGTTGGGGGTCATTGTTTACAGACCCCTGTTATGCATACCAAGAGTACATAACCCCCCATAGTGTGCAACTCGACTATAGTATATTACTAGTATGGGTGCTGTCCCGACAGAATTTGAAGTTGACGTCATTTTGATGATGCAATGCGCACTGTACACGGATTATCAGACGAATCCGGAACCTGTGGTTGACCGAAGCCGATCTGATCCTGTACAAATGATTGCAAAGAAAAACGTGTGATGCGTTGACACCCGTACACATGTTGTAAATCACTGGTGCAAGGAGCATTGCGTCATAAATAATGACGTCAACTTGAAATTCTGTCGGGACAGCAGGGTATGTGGGAGTTGCACACTCTGGGGGGGGGGGGGGGGGGTTATGTACTCTTGCGCATACTACTTACTAGCTATGAGTCAACGGCGGTACTTTACAGCAATACTGAAAGTCTGAAACATCCGCTGCCTTTGCGATGGTCTCTCATGTTCAAATGCTGCGACTGTGATTTTCGCCTGGCTATCATAATAATACTGCGAGTAATTCCATGTCGTCTCAGTGTGATAAACCCAAGCGAGCGAGAATCAAAGTACAAAGTACCATGGACGCATGTACAGTACTGCTCGATGAAATCCAGTCTTGTCACTCAGGTACGCGCCGCGTTGCACAGCCCTAGACTTGCGAACACTGGGCTGCGAAATGGTACAAGGCGCAAACTTGACTCATGCGGCCGGACAGTTTCATTGAGCAGCACCGTGGTTCTTTCATAGCAGTTTTCCAGAACTCCAGAACTCCAGAACTCCATGCGTCTATGCAGATATTGGTAAGCAAGTGCTTCCAGAAACAAAACAAAAAACCTCCGTGTCTTCAATCTTACTGTCAGCTCGGTGGTGAATACAGCTTTGAAGATTTGAGCTATGTTGACTCCAAGTGAGACTGGCTCAAATGGTGCCAATTTCTACTGTACAATGCCATGCATACTTCAAAGTTGAAACAGTATCCACTCATTGTCTTCAGGTGTGTTTGTTCCACTGAACCACATTTCCTGAACACAGTATCTCTCCAGCATGAAAGTCACGAAGTGTTTTTGTTTTCGGAGGAAGTATCTTGCTTACGCTTACAAATTCAAGTTGTAAGTGCAGATGAGATGTGGAAAGTAAGTTAGGGCTGAAACAATCATGGATTTTCACCTATCAATTACTCCTTGGTTTAACGATCAATTACTCGATTACAGTAGAACGCCGATTATCCGGACGTCAACTATCTGGATGGTCGATTATCTGGATCGCCTGGTCGGGCTGGAAAATAAAAAATAGCAGCTTTTTCAATGGTTTTGCGGATTTTCCGCAGTCGGAGGACCATACAAGCAAAGCACAAGATGTATTACAGCAGGTTAGAGTCAAACATGTATAACGATAGTGTCATTTTGAGGAGCTGGAGTGCGCCTAGTTCCTGTTGTACTACCGAAGAGAATGAAAAATGATGAACACATGTGGGGATATGCATGTTTTAGATAGATGTGTGACTGGTCCCTTATCTGAACCGTGCATTCTTCTCATCCGAACCTCGTGGAGACCGTGGCAGCCTGCGCCCCAAGGGCTTCGGATGATCGGCACTCTACTGTATCATTGTTAGCAAGCATTGTCAGATTTTGGTGAAAAACTTTCTCCGTTCCCTAAGCTATGCCTTCATAATGCTTGTTTATGGACTCGTGTCCCTGTGTTATTGAGCTCCCTGTGCGTATTTGGGTCCCCCCCCCCTCTATGTCTTCATAATACCAGTAATTCTTCATTAGTGAAATGGTAGCTCCAAACATGGCAGTTTTCCATGTCGATAGGACCTTGCTTTTTGGGATTTGCACATCGGCAGGACCTTGCTTCGGGGGAAACTTTCGACGTCAGTAGAACCTTGCTTTGAGGATTTGCACTTCAGTAGGATATTGCTTTTACTTGTAGGGGATTTGCACGTCGGTAGGAACTTGCTTTGGGGATTTTCATGTCACTGGAACTGACTTGCTTTTTGGGGATTTCCACGTCAGTAGGACCTCGCTTGCTCTGTGGCTTCTTCGCTACAGCCGGTTTCTCTCTATTAGGCGACACGCATCTAGGTTGATAGATGGCTGGGTGGACTAAATAGCTTGTTACGGCGCCTTGCGCCCGTAAAGCCATATCCCCTGGGGTCTTTCCAGCTTGAGGATCTGGCATCACTGGGCGCCGCCTTGGAAACCGGTGACATGCTTCAATGACAGCAGATTGACTCAACTGGGCCAGAGGTATGTATGCTACGCGCAAGGCCGATCGTTGTTGGCCGATCGCTGTAGGGCTGCATGACGGTGAATATGTCGTACTACTATAGTGTATGTATAATCCATGTCCCGACCGGTTTCGCTGTATATAGCTCATCAGGAGACGCTTTAGAAAAAGCCGTGGACTAAAAATGAATAATTTGGGTATATAGTGGGATTAGATTGGTTTTGATTAGGCTGAGGTGTAGGATATAGTAAGGATTTATACTTGGGCTGGCGATAGTGTGTGAGTATGGACTTACGCCAAAGCTGCCAATGTGATACACGGACTTAGACCTACAGTTACCGAAAGTATCTTTGTGTAAAAATTATAAGTGTATGATAATTTAGTAGCCAGGCTTACCGAAGATGCCGAAAGATAAGCAACAGCCAAGATATGACAGTAATTGGCGATGCTGAAAAGTACATATCGACTTAGGGTTAGGGTTAGAAAATTCTGCAGAGCAGAACGGTCGTAGGGCGGCACTAATGAAAACGAAATGCAAAGTTGTGTGGAAAAGGGTGCGGTGGATATGGAAAATAGAACACAAAGCAATGCAAAGGAACACAATAGATGAAAAAAGGTGGAGTAGGACTGTCCTGAGGTAAGGTTGGTAACAAGCTTGTTTCACTATCATAGCGATAGATCATCAGACCAATGGAGAGTATGTGGTGGAACGGTCCTTTATCAGTAAAAAAATTAAGTGAAAAAAACGTCAACAGTAGAGGTGTGAGTTTACACATGTTTACCGGGTATGTGTTAGATAGTTCGAGAGACACTTGGTCTTCTTCCATGCTATGAATGGTGTGGGACCAAGTTTAGTGTCGAGTTTGTGTTTAGTCCATAGATCACTTAGCACCCTGTCTACGCCTTTAAACGCTGCTAGGGTGGTAGGGAATCATGAGTGGAGGTGTAGTATTACGCTTAGGGCACTCGCTTGGCATCTCCGGGAGTTAACTAATCATACCGGGTCCCTGGCGAGTTGCTAACATTAAAATCATGCGGCTTATACTCACTAATAACTACTTCACCTTCAAAGGTCTGATATATCACCAATTGCAAGGTGGCAGCCCTGCAGCGGTCGCCTACGCCAATATAGTCCTGTTTCGCATTGAAAAGTTCCACCTGTCTACCTTCTCAGGTGCTTCCTCCTTACTGGCTAAACGCTATATCGATGACCTGTTCGCAATTGTATCAGAAAATATATCAAACAAATCCTACAAGAACCTATTATCTCCAACTGTCCAGTTAAATTCACGCATGAAAACAGTAAAACCGAAATTATCATGCTGGACCTACACCTCAAATTCCTAGATGAAAAAATAGAGTCGAAAATCAATTTTAAAACAAGAAACAAATTCCAATACATTTCGCCAAGATTCTCCCACCCCAACCACACATGGAAAGCAGTGGGCCTTGGTGAAATGATCCGAGCAGATAGAGGATCTACAACCGAAGCTGCCTCCCTCGGTACCAGATCGTTCTGTCTAGTAAACTTGTTGAACGCGGCTATTCAAAGTCGGTTGTCTCAGCCGCCTTACACATCTCCCACAACACTAGACCTACACGCCCTAAGCGTAATACTACTACAAGTACACCTCCACTCATTATTCCTGACCACCCTAAACGGCGTGAACAGGGTGCGAAGGGATCTATGGACTAAACACAAACTCGACACTAAACTTGGTCCCACACCATTCATAGCATGGAAGAAGACCAAGTGTCTCTCGAACTATCTAACACATACCCGGTAAACATGTGTAAACTCACACCTCTACTCACACCTCTACTGTTTTTTCACTTAATTTTTTTTACTGATAAGGGATCGTTCCTCCACATACCCTCCATTGTTCTGATGATCTATCCCTATGATACTGAAGCAAGCTTGTTACCAACCTTCCCTCTGGACTGTCCTACTCCACCTTTTTACCATTACACCCACATTTTTCATCTGTTGTGCTCCTTTGCATTGCTTTGTGTTCTGTTTTCCATATCCACCGCACCCTTTTCCACACAGCTTTGCATTTCGTTTTCATTAGTGCCGCCCTACGACCGTTCTGCTCTGCAGAATTTTTTAACCCTAACCCTAAGTCGATATGTACTTTTCAGCATCGCCAATTACTGTCATATCTTGGCTGTAACTTATCTTTCGGCATCTTCGGTAAGCCTGGCTACTAAATTATCATACACTTATAATTTTTACACAAAGATACTTTCGGTAACTGTAGGTCTAAGTCCGTGTATCACATTGGCAGCTTTGGCGTAAGTCCATACTCACACACTATCGCCAGCCCAAGTATAAATCCTTACTATATCCTACACCTCAGCCTAATCAAAACCAATCTAATCCCACTATATACCCAAATTATTCATTTTTAGTCCACGGCTTTTTCTAAAGCGTCTCCTGATGAGCTATATACAGCGAAACCGGTCGGGACATGGATTATACATACACTATAGTAGTACGACATATTCACCGTCATGCAGCCCTACAGCGATCGGCCAACAGCGATCGGCCTTGCGCGTAGCATACATAATTATCATACACTTATAATTTTTACACAAAGATACTTTCGGTAACTGTAGGTCTAAGTCCGTGTATCACATTGGCAGCTTTGGCGTAAGTCCATACTCACACACTATCGCCAGCCCAAGTACAAGTCCTTACTATATCCTACACCTCAGCTTAATCAAAACCAATCTAATCCCACTATATACCCACATTATTAATTTTAGTCCACGGCTTTTTCTAAAGCGTCACCTGATGAGCTATATCCAGCGAAACCGGTCAGGACATGGATTATACATACATTTTAGTAGTACAACATATTCACCGTCATGCAGCCCTACAACGATCGGCCTTGCGCCTCTTCTAAAACCCTAACCCTAATCGTAGGGGCTTGCAGTCCCTCGCGCTGGTCGGCTACGCGGTAGTGTCTCCCGTGCCCCCTGCTGCTGTCGAAAATTTCTTGGCCTTATTGCCTTGTTGAGACTGAAACGAGGATTAGGCATTGGATTTCGACTTGATTACACTATGTCCTGTTAGCCTAGCCGGATGTTGAAAGACTTGAAGTGCTTAGTGCACAGACTGAGATCAACATGTTGTCAACTTGTGAGCTGCTGCAAACCCAGAATTTGTATGCGGCTCGCTGTCTTAAATTTATTTTATTCATGTGTGACTTCTTTTTGTATGCAGATAACTCTGAAGTAATGGCGCATACATCAAATTGAACCGTACATGAAGTTCTCAGTGCTCTTCATACCAACAAGAGTGCAGTCAGACAACTGTGTTTGCGTGTACTGCATTCCGCAACACCACGGCAAAGTAACTGTGAATGGCGAGGGGCGAACTCCAGCGCTACTTCATCCGGACCGCACCCACAACAACGAGCACGGACATGAAGGTCATTCTCAAAGAGAGGTATGGCCCGACGCAAGTGCAAGGAGAAGTGAAGCAAACCGATAGCAGATCAGGTTGGGAGCAGGAAATGCCGCACGTGTCAGCGGTGGTTCAGGAGCGCCGGAGGCCTCGCGGTCCATAAAAGTCTACCCGATGATCGCTCTACGTGCAACTCAGTCACGGCAATACCGGTGCCGGCGAGGACTCGGCTCTCGCTATGCTGCCAGGCTCATTGCAGCACATGTGGCAGGTGCTGCCGATCGAAGAGGGGTTTTCAACTCCACAGCTGTGCAAAGTATAACAGAACTTTCGTTGGCCGCTAGCCTGCGGAGTGTGCTGCGCACCGCATTCAACCAACATACTGCATGTCTGTCGGCCCCTCGTATGAGGGGACAAGTGACGTCTGACGGCAATGTTCAGGACAGGGACAGGGCAGGCGTGCGTGTATAAGCATGGGTGTGCGTGCGTGTGTTTGTGTGTGCATTGTTCTTACGAACTGGTGTGGATGGCGTAGATGCATGAGATGGAAACGCTTCAAATTTGTTCTTCAAACTGATAGTAACGTCTTTGCAAATTTGCACCATAATTATCCTGACTGATAGCGGGTACATGTCATGCAGCCGATGGTACGGGAATGCAGCCGATGGTACGGGAATGCAGGCAATGTGATGAAACACGGATGATCACTACTAGTAATCCATTCACCTAAAACCGGCACCATAACTCCATAACTTTTTGGTATTTCCTTTAAGTTCTGGACGAGATGTTTTTGACGATAAGCCCGATAAGGGACATGTGCGGGACACCCGGCAATATATATGAACGTGACGTTTCTTCAAAACTACATACACTGCATACACACCCCTTTCTCCATACTTTTATCCAAAGTGCAGCAGTTTCACCGTGTACTGTGTGTATCATCTTTGACATTGTTATCTTGGACATCTTGCCAATGAATAAATTGGTGCTTGATGCCAAATCCAATTCACAAAATCAACCGGCAGGAAGCATAAGCTCCGACGTTCGGAGCAGACACTTTCTTAATCAAAACTATGTTGTTGTATGTGGGGCATTATGAAAAAAAAAGAATACGATAGAAATTTACTCCTAGCTACTTGTAAAATAAGCCAGAGCAAAAACATACGAAATAATCCTATGGAGTCTTCAAAAGGACAAACGTATGATAACATAACTAGGTCTAGCAAAATGCTAAAACGGGACGAGACATTAAATGTTCAGTTTGTACACTTGCTGCGAGAGCCACGAAAAGACGTCTTTTGCGACTCTTCTCGTGTGGCAAAAATTATGTACATGGCTACAAGCGTGCCTGAAAAGACACATCTGAAATTGGCATGACAGCGATTCGGCGACAGCTGGAAAATCGCAGAAATCAAGATGACGGCGCTGTTCGGTAGGCCGGGACGGCCCTGATTGCACAGGACGCCCGGCTGTTAGCTGGCACACGGTGGTGGATATCCTGCTAGTCAGCTGTTCATTACCGATTCCGACAACACGGGTCAACCTCCTTGGCTGGTTCTCTGCAGGGTCTCCACCATCATGAACCTAATCAATATATCACGATGAACCCCATCAATCAACGACTAGCGGTAGTGGCTGGGAGAATGATGACAACAGCAGCAGCTGATCAGAGAAAATTGATACCCAGACCGACGTGCAGACCTTGCAGAGGACTAGTAGTGAGCAGAGGAACACGACCAACATGATAACACAAAAAATATTGGAATTTGTTTCATAATACCATTTGAAGAAATCTCTTTGGTAACAAGGGCGTGCGAACTCTACTGCAGCCATTTCATTAAAATAAAATCCCTTCCTAAAGATGCAGATACAAGATACAGACTCAGTAAAATCTGTCAAAAAGGTCTGCTGAAGGGACTACGTCCTCTTATTCAGGTTAAGTACGTCATACATTATGATAAATCATTCTGATCAGTACCTCATACTGCTATAGTACACCTATGTTATTCGCAGTGCATAAGTGCTTATGCAATCCCTGCATCAGTGGTGATGATCAAGCACAACCGCTGACCATGGTTCATGCGCCCCTAGAGCAGTCAGGCAAACTAATTGCTTCAGTACACTTCCTGCACTGGTGTGTATGGTGAATCGTTGTACAGGCAGGGGCAGGGGGGGGGGTACAATGTACATGCAGGGGGGGGGGGGGGGGTACAATGTGGTCACGGACGGGTAATCGTTGGTCACATCGACTGAGTGGCCGCTTGACTGGGAACGGTCCATGACAAGGAAAAGTGGTCGTTTTGGTGGAGCGGTCACCGTTGCAGGTTTTACTTGTACCTTCATATCTGTGTATTGCATGCACTATGTCATACGGGGCAACTACCGTTGACCCAGGACTTTTATTCGAGAATGAACTTTATTCTGTGAAGGGCCTTCGCGGTCTTTTATTCAAGAGGATGTGTAATCCGAGAGGGCTCCAGTACGGAACACATTTTGCTGAGCACAGGCACTCCAAATCTCAAAAGGTCCGGGAAGCACCAGTAGTTCTATTACTGCAACCGATTATTGCATACAGAGTCAATACAGCCCCCAGGCAACCCCCATTCAAACCCAAGCTCTATCTCAAAGCTATTTTTCATCACAGAGTAAGCAGTTGGGCCGTCCCTTCCACATGCACGTGCACGTGAACACACGCACGCACACGTGAACACACGCACACGTGAACACACGCACGCACACGTGAACACACGCATGCACACGTGAACACACGCACGCACACGTGAACACACGCACGCACACGTGAACACACGCACGCACACGTGAACACACGCACACACACGTAATTACAGGCTACAGTAAGCCTGTCAAGGCGACCACTCGGATACGGCGACCAACTGTCCAAGGGGACCACTACCACCAGTCAATTGTCAATTTCAGTCAAATGACCCTGGATAAGGAGACCACCTGTACACAGCGATCACATTTTGAAGGTCCAGTGAGCGGTCGCCTTAGACAGGTTTTACTGTAATTTCAGGCTGTGTTGCTAAATCCTCAGACAGCACACACAATGTCATGTAAATCTATCTCACCTGGACTGTACTTCCCCGGGCCGTGGGAAGCAATAATTAAATTCAATGCGACCAACACCGACATTCACTGCCAAACCAACGCCATACGACCAGGCAAATTCACGCTGAAACAACCTTGCTGTCCGGGATAGAGGGCTATGGCGAGCTGCAGAAAGGAATACAATGCATATTGTATGTTGTGAAGATATTTAGCCCTGCGCCGAAAATTTAGTGCCGTGCTGTCATGTTAAGCCCAACGGTTGAGAGGTGGCTGAAATTTAAATCCCTGCCAGAGAATAACTAAATCACCCGGGGATACGTTCACACGTACTAATCAATGGTGTAATGGTCACACATGTCAACTACAATTATCGCTGCACTTTGTACTTCAGCCAGAAGGTGAATACTGAATAGCATGTGTAATACCTGATAAGGATGCCAGCTAGTATGGCACTATGGTGAAAAGAATGCCGGCACCTTCGAAAACAGTGTTTGTGTGGCAGTGCCCCAGGCCAGGCTGAGGCACCAATGCACAGAGTTGCATACTCTGGAGGTTCTGTACTCTTGCTAGTACCATAGACAACGACGGCTTTGGCAGCTGATGGCAAGGTGGAAGCGGTACTTCTAGAAACACTAGTCGCGGTGCTTCTAGGAACACTAGTCTTGACTACATCCATCCTTATGGTGCCCAGGGTCACAGTTTAGTAGTAGTTAGTTTACGCGACCATATGAACCGTTATTTGAGAACGAATGGATCCCTGGTTCAGACCTACATGTTCCTCTGCAACAATCCAGGCTTAACAGGCTAAATAGCTTCCCACAAAAAAATCAAGCATGTTTCACAAACGTCTGTTTGAGCATGGGAATTATAACAGGTGTGTCTCACTAATCTAACTCGCCAATGTAGACATATTGTGTGAGACACGTACATCAGGACACACAGATAAGCACACAAGCACGCAAGCATACGCACACACACACACACACACACCTGACCTGACCTTTGACGCCCATCGCCGGAGGCGATGATAGCAATGCTACGGCAGAAGCCATAGCAACTTGTGCTGGGATTACACCATTCAACAGCTTGCAAGGCTGAAGAATTGACCGTCACTATTCAGCCTGGTCTACACCATACAGCTATTTGGAGTGACAATTTCTGGCCAGTGAATCCCTTTTTTTGGTCTTTTCCATTTTTTTCTTTTTTTTTCCTTTTTTTCCCGCACACACATCACACCACATACTCCGGCATGCACTGGCTGTTGGTAACCACCCAGGAGAATGAAAGAAAAGTCAGGAAGAGTCTGAGAAAGAGAAGAAAGACGTGTGTGACCAGAATCGTAGATTCCACACACACACACACACACACACACACACACACACACACACACACACACACATACACACACACACACTACTACTACTACTACTATGTACAGCTACCCTATCGGGCCACGCCGCTCCCAGAAGCGGGAGACAACGACAAGAAGAGAGAAGAGAAGAGAGAGAAATCGCAAAGTCAACAATATTTGGCATGGCGTTGCAAGTCCTGTGGCCTTGAGAACCGTCTTTCGCAATGCTCGCATTCATGACGGCAGTTGTTCCTGGCTGCACGTGACATCCGTTTCGCACGGTCACAGTGATGACGGCTCAAACCAGAACGAGAGCGGAAAGAGCGGCGACAAACATCACATCGCAAAGAGTCAGATTCATGGCGAATGGATACAGTGGGGACATCCGTGGACACAGGACAGCGATGCACAGCCAGTCCTCCAGCGCTCCTCAACCACCGCATGCACTTCATACATTGCCTGGCACCCTTCTGTTGTGACACAGGCAACTTCCGCTGGGCAATGTACTTGTGTCGGGCCATGTCGTTACACACACACACACACACACACACACTCTCGGACACACTCGGACACACACACCAGAATACATACGCAACAACAAGAATAGTTTCAAATGCAACACCAGCAGCATTGCTAGGCAGAACTTACATGGAGTTTCACTCAGTAAACTACCACCGGTTGCGAACAGATGCAAGCGAAATCTGTCGGATGATATGTAGGGCAACGGTGAGAAAAGATGTGCACCTGCTGCTACAAACGCTGTGCCACCCAGACTAGCATCTATGGGGTAAGTGATGAACAAGAAAGAACACACAAGGTAACAATAGCAAGTGTCAACATCTGTAACTTGAGGAGCTGATACGAGACTGAAGGAGGAGAAGAAAAAAGGAGAAAGAGTACGCTATTGCTTCACCAGTCTGGCCTGCACGCGTGACACAAATCCACACCTTTAAAACAGGGCACACACACACACACACACACACACGCACGCAAGCATGCCCACACACATCCGCATCCATCCACTTACTGCCAGCCCTGGGACCCACTCCGCGCAGACGATAACCACGGATGGACTGCGGACCTCCAAGGAAGAATCTGTCCAAGAGAAGAAGGCCAGCAACAACAGGCACACATACACATAGCATATAAACAACTGAGAAAATGAACTGCGTGCTGAACTGCAGTCGGTCGGAGAAAAGTACATACACACAAACCTGCCAATGTCGGTTCAGAATGAAAAGCAACTTTGGGCAATGCACAGTACATGTTAACCGTAATCAGGTGTACATAGCTTGCCGTGCTCTGCAAGTTACAACCTCCACTGTCCTGATGACCAATACTGGGGAAGACTTTCCATAGTATGCGTGCGTGCGTGCGTGCATGCATGCATGTGTGTGTGCATGTGTCGTAATTCGGGATCATGGAGATCGTAGTAGAATTCCCCCGTACACTGTTGATGTGGAAGTGAATGACATACCCTACCCTATTAAAATGGAAGTGGACACAGGCAGACAGGCAGTAGCATCTCCCTGCTCACCCTAAGGGATTTTGAGAAATTGGGTGTTCCAACTACGTCACTATCTCCTGCAAGTGTACGTTTGAAGGGTTTTTCAGGTTCAGAAATACCATGTCGTGGCGAGCACGAATTCACTGTCAAAGTAAATGGACAAACAAAGAATGTTGTCCTCCGTGTGGTGGATGCACCGGGTCCTTCTTTGTTGGGAAGGGATCTACTGTCAGTTTTGCAGCTGCAATGGAAAGAGATCTTTACCGTTACTTTGGAAATTGATAATGCAATTGAGCGAGCTAAAATTCGGGAGGAATTTATGGCAATGTATCCGGAGTTGTTTGACACATCCACGGTAGGAAAACTGAAATCCACTCAAGTTCGTTTGCGGGTCCGTGAAAATCACCCAGTGTGCATGAAGGCGCGTACCATACCTTTTGCAATTCGAGAGAAATACGAGCGAACGCTGGATGATTTGGAATCGAGTGGCATTATACAGAAAGTGAATTTCTCTAAATGGGCGTCTCCCACTGTGCCAGTACTAAAGCCAGATGGGAGCATTCGCATTTGTGCAGATTAGTCCCGTACCATAAATGCAAATTCAGAGCTTGAATCTTTCCCACTGCCTCGTTTGGATGAAATGCTTACGAAGTTATCAAATGGAACGAACTTCACAAAAGAGCTCGATCTCTCCCAAGCCTATCATCAGTTGGAATTAGAACCGGAATCGCGCACATTCACTACAATTTCTACACACAAGGGCTGTTTGAATACACACGGTTGCCGTTTGGCATACATCCAGCAGTGTCGATATTCCAACGTACGATGGAAGCTATTCTGGCCGACATCCCTGGATGTGTCGTGTACATCGATGATATTCTGGTAACTGGAAAAACTACAGAGGAATACCTAGCTGACCTGAAAACGGTTTTGACTAGGCTGGAAGAGGTTGGCATGAAATAAAACCAGCTAAATTCGAGGTAATGCTACAAGTAGATGAAATAAATTTCCTGGGGCACACTATCTCTGAGAGGGGCATCATCCCAAGCGCGGCAAAGATCGAGTCTCTGTCGTTAGCTAAACCCCCTTCTACTGTTTCAGAGTTGCAGTCATTCATTGGAACAGCAAATTACCTGCGTCGGTTTGTTCCTCATTTCGCCAACACAATGGCACCGTTACGCCTTGCTTAAAGCATGCAGCATGGAAATGGGAAATGGCGGAGCAGACGGCGGTCGAGAAAATCAAAGCGGCTCTATGTTCTGACACGGTTCTAGTCCATTTCGATCCTGACAAAGAAACCGTACTGCAAACAGGTGCTTCGGGCATTGGCCTGGGGGCAGTAGTACTCCAAATGGAAAACGGTTCACTACAACCAGTGGCGTATGCATCGCGTTTGTTGACCGATGCCGAAAAGCGGTACTCCGACATTGAGAGAGAATCACTAGCATTGGTTTTCGGAGTCACTAAATTCAGACAATTCTTACTTGGGCGGAACTTCATCCTCAGAACCGACCACAAACCCTTACTGAAGTTGTTTGGTCATGAAGAAACCATTCCCATCTTGGTTTCTTCACGTTTCACTTCTTCACATGTCTGTTTTCCACATGCGATGCAATGCGTGCGATCGACATTGGGTATCACGTGCCATCGTTGCTGGGATGACCACATATCAAACAACCAGCTGCTTGAGTGGTGGGGTGATTCCGAAACCATCGTCACCAAGGTTCAGCATCGGCGCCTCGAGTGGCTAGGCCATGTCGCCCGCATGGACGTGCGATTGCCCAAACAGTTGCTGTTCGGCACCCTGCCATCTCGTCGCCCGGCACATGGCCCACGTCGGCGGTGGAAAGACTGCGCTGTGAAGGACCTCCGCTCACGAGACCTTGAAGCGGACTGGTACAGAGTGGCCTGTGACTCTCGCCCAGACTGGAGGTTGGCTTACACCTCGGACGCCCCGGATCCCCCAGTACCGGCACTGGTGACTTGCTTCACATGCGCCCGGCACTTCGCACGCCAGGGCGACCTCGCTAGGCACACGTGCACGGCTGAACGGCAGAAGCCGGTTTCGGAGCAGAGAGGTGCATGTCAGTGCCCTCGGTGTCATCGTTGGTTCCGGAGCCTTGGCTGTGCATCGTTGCTCCGCTTCTACCTCGCGCCCAGTACCAACCGAACCAGCTGCTGTTGTCACCGGTGACACTACCGCTCGGAGTTGCTGCAGTGCTCACTGTGACATCTGCAATCGTTGTTTCCGCTCAACCCAGGGGCGCAATCGCCATCGCTGTTCAACGCACTGCCACCGTACAGCGGCTAGAGAACGGGACAAGTTCCCGCATATTTGTATCTGCTCTCGCCGGTTCCGACTAGTCTCGCATCTGGAGCGCCATCGGGTGGCGTGGTCTTTCTCTTTCTCTCTGCTGCCCCTCCGGGGCCCACGTGACCCTAGTGGTAATGGCTCTACAGGACAGGACAGGCGTGTGTGTGTGTGTATGTATGTACGTGCGTATGTGTGTGTGTCTGTTCACTGAACATGCTTCACTCATGCTGAAGAAGCAATGCTGTGACTCGCATCCCCCCCCCCCCCCCCTCACTTCGACATGAAACATGCACTTGCAACCAGCCACACGCAGTTCCGATCGCAAACGTGTGTGGCTTATTGCAAGCACATGGGTTAAAGTGTGTGGCCCATCGCAAGTAGACTGCGCCTGTAAACAATTTCATCACATGGCGATACTACTAGCTACTACAGGATCATGTCGATGTAGTAGTCAGTAAAACTACAACGCTACCACTGAGTGCTAGTAGCAAGCCGTGTGTGCACATTATCATTAATGACTGCGGCCACTCAGAACTTACAGATCGCTGATAGGAATCCTCTCCATGTTCGAGAAAATGCCACCAGCTTGAAGTGACGATGAAAACACCTACATGCAATGAGATGAACAGGTAGAATGAAGCTCAGGCACTCACAACACAAGCTACATTTTACCTGTCCTGCTATCTTTGGAACAATACGAGCAAATACCCAATGACCAAACATGGCGAGGGAGCGGGTACCCCGAGATCAGTAATCCATCGTACACATATTTAGGCTATTAGCCCCTGAATTCCCCATGACTGTGAAACAACACAGTTGGAGAACTCGTCAACACACTCACAGATAAGCCCAGGTCAATCAAATACAGGCACGCATATGCATATGCATGGTGCATATACTCACAAGGGGAGTGAATGGCACGCGAGAGTTCACTTGAACATCGCCGTCGGTTTTGAAGAATCGTTTACCCTCGTTGAAAGAGTCCAGTGTTGCGACTTCCTGGATCAGTCGAATCAAGTACGCATGCGCATAAACACACACAAGTTCGCACACACATGCATAACACACACACCATTGGACGCCCATCGCCGGAGGCGATGATAGCGATGCTACAGCAGAAGCCATAGCAGCTTGTGCTGGGATTGCACCATTCAACAGCTTGCAAGGCTGAAGAATCGACCGCCACTATTCAGCCTGGTCTACACCACACAGCTATGAAGTGGCTTTTTCTGGCCAGTGAATCCCTACTTTTTGGTCTTTTTCATTTTTTTCATGCACACGCATCACACCACATACTCCGGCATGCACTGACTGTTGGTAACCACCCAGGAGAATGAAAGAAAAGTCAGGAAGAGACTGAGAAAGAGAAGAAAGACGTGTGTGACCATAATCGTCGGGAATCGAACCCGCAACCTATCGATTGGAAATCGCTGCACATACCACTGCACCAAATGGGACGACACACACACACACACACACACACACACACACACACACACACACACACACACACACACACACACACACACCACTGATAACGTAATCCCATAGCCACTAGAGCACTGATTATGTAATCATATAACCAGCATAACGCTGAGGATGAAATCACATACTGTAGAAGCAGCTTTTCAATACAATCTTATGGTCCATGGACTAAATTTTCAACGAACTCCCTTTCTTTGGAGTTGGACGAAATTATCGAACGACGAAATTTTCTGCCTGTACAGTAGTCGTTACGATCCACCAAATCCATAAACAAGAGTATGTGAATGCGGCTATGGGCCAGTGTGCGGTGCGCTGATTTCATGAGTCATGACATTACATTATTATGATGAGTGCTGTCACCGAAGCCCTCTATCAGTACATGACATTTGTACTACATGTGCACGTAGGTGAAAACCGACCCGAAAAGTAGACTCGGCACCCTCCACTCGCACGGTCTTTGACAGCCTGGAAGTGCTGCGAGTGCTGCTGGATGTACAGTACAGCACGTGTACAAATACGGTGTGATGTAATGGAAACTGGTCCAGCACGCCAGTTTAGCACTTTGGGTCGGATTTCACTGACTGCAACTGTAGTACATGTAGTTGTACAGGTACCAGGCGGGTCAAGCAGTGGATGTAGAACAAGGGCGCGTTTGGTTGGTACAAACTAGAACAAGATTCACCAGAACAGCGCGTTTGGTTGGGACTGCACCTGTTCTGGGTCGGCCAGAACATGTTCTGCTTGCTCCGGCCTCGAGGCCGGAGCAGACCGAGCAGTTTCACTTTTTCACAGTGAAACCTGGCGGGAACATCGATTTTGTCCAAATAAGGATCACGTGCGTACGGCTTTGTGTTGTAGTTGGCGCGAGTTGTGTACCATGGTGTACCGTATACTCAATAGTAGCGCTCTTTCAGATCGTGGACTCTACTGCCGTAAAGGGGAAAGAAGCACAGGTGAGGCTCCTTCGCGGACGAAAGTAATAACGTAGATCGCGCTCCCCATTGTGTCTGGACATAATAATAATATTTTCTTGTTTTGTGGAAGTAGTCATTTCTCTTTGAAGTTTCCTTCTGGTTTGGTCCAAACTTGTTTCTACTCGTGGAGCGTATATCATTTCCGTTGAACAATGGCTGACCCCCTGTCTTTGAGTGCCGATCACAGCGAAAAGAGCGACGATGGCAGCGACAAGGTCGAGATCATAGAGAAAAAGGCAGGCTTTGTGTGGTCCACGAAGTTGACGCTCGACCCCATTCAATCAAGAAGTAAGCGCGACCCACTGTTCAGCGACATAAATTATAAAAAGAAATCCATCTGGCAGCGAATCGCCTCGGACATAGAAGAAAATAACCCCGAACTCGATCAATCCTATCCAACGGCGGAGCAGTGCGAGAACAGGTGGAAAAGCCTGCTCCGTGGTTACAAGGCATTTGTCGATTCGCAAAACCAAACCGGAGCGGACAGGAAGAAGGAGCCTGCATTCTACAGTGAAATGAATGCGGTCCTGGGAGAGAAGCCCAACGTCCGGCCACAGTGCGTTGCCGGATCTTTGCCAACAGCTGCCCAACCTATAAAACGGGCCGCTAATGCAGTTCAAGCAGCGATTGACGATGGCGATGCAGCGCAAGATGATGGTGGAGAACAAGAAGCAGTTACCACTGCAGTACCGACGAAGAAACGCCGACGATCCTCGACCAACAAGCCACAACAGTCTGAGGCGTTTCAATGGCTCAAGGCAGAGCGCGCCGAGGAGAAGGCAACGGCTGCCAAGCAGCATACAGATCAAATATCTGTTCTGAACAGACTTGCTAGTGCTGTCGAGAAATTCAGCAGCATTTAATGCTGTTGTTGTTGTTCTTGTTGTTTTAAGTGGCGTTGTGTCTTTTACAGCTGTTCATGCGCTTTTAATTGTGCGTGTGTTGCCATTGGATTGAAGCGTGACTTGAATATGTGGTGTTCTGGCCGTGATAAATTTCTTCAGTGTTTATATGGACAGTACCTCCCTTGATTTTTTCGTTTTCATACTTTTTGTAATTACTCCTGTCAGTCGGCAAGATCTTCCCAGCAGAGGGGCACCCGCACATCTTCTTTGGTTGTCTCAGACGTTACCAATCATATCCCTTTATTGGATTTCCTGTCTTCTAATTAATGGGCTTGTAGCCCGTTTGCACTTGGGAAATCAAATGAACAATACAATACGTTCTTGCCATTACTGCTTGCTAGCCTTGTTCAACCGTTAGTTGAGAGAGAGGGAGAGAGAGGGAGAGAGAGGGAGAGAGAGAGAGGGAGAGAGAGAGAGAGAGAGAGAGAGAGACAGAAAGCGAGAGCTAGATAGATAGACGGATGGATAGATAGATAAATAGATAGATGGATGGATAGATAGATAGAGAGAGAGAGAGAGAGAGAGAGAGAGAGAGAGAGAGAGAGAGAGAGAGAGAGAGAGAAAGAGGGAGAGAGAGAGAGAGAGAGAGAGAGAGAGAGAGAGAGAGAGAGAGAGAGAGAGAAAGAGAGAGAGAGAGAGAGAGAGAGAGAGAGAGAGACAGACAGACAGAGAGACAGAGACAGACAGAGAGACAGAGACAGGGAGACGGACAGAGAGAGAGAGGCAAAGAAAGAGAGACAGAGACAGAGAGTGAGTGAGAGAGAGAGAGCAAGAGAGCGAGTGAGACAGACAGACAGAAAGCGAGAAAAAGAGAAAAAGAGAGAAAGAGAGAGAGAGAGAGAGAGAGAGAGAGAGAGAGAGAGAGAGAGAGAGAGAAAGAGAGAGAGAGAAAGAGAGAGACTTGATAATGGTAATTCTGCCTCAACCCATGAAGACTGGTTGGTACAATATCAGTCACATCAAGTAGTCTGCAATTCGCTGGCGCTTGTCCATACCAGATGCATCCTGTGGCAGGAACAACGGCATGTTGTTTATTGGCTCTTCTGGAAGGTTATCCAGGAAGTCGGCGACTTCGTCTCCATCCATAATAGCCATATTGTGGAGAACGCATGCGGCTATGGTTATGTGGGTTGCATTCTCCACGTTGGTGACGTTGACGCCTTGGAGCTGCCGCCATCTTCCTTTCAGCAGAGCGAAAGCCTTTTCAATCACCACACGGGAAGATGAATGATTGAAATTTAAATTCCGTTGGATTGGCATCACGTTACCGGCATCACGATAGGGGGTGATCAGCCATGGCAGAAGAGGGTATGCAGAGTCCCCAAGGATGAAACTCTCCTTGGGGAAGAACTCCTCCTTGCGCTCATCCACGGCATGTTTGAGCGGGCTGTTGTTGAACACTCTGGCATCGTGAACCGAACCAGGCCAACCAGCAAACACATCTGTGAATAGCAAATTGGCGTCACAGACAGCTTGCAGCACAATAGAGTGGAATCTCTTCCGATTCAGGTATGCATCGGTCGATTCCATCGGGGCTTTGATGGGTATATGACTCCCGTCAATGGCACCAATGATTCCATGGATTCCCTTCAGCTGGTGGAACCGCCCTTGTGTGTCGTTAACACCTTTCTCTTTCGGCCAGCAGATCATCAGAGGGGCAATGTCGCAGAGAGCGAAACATACCCGTCGCGTTGATGTCCAGATGGTGTACTTGGACAGACCGAACTTGTCACTAACTTCCCTTATACAGCTCTTGGAGCTCAGCCACCAAAGGGAAAGAAGAACCTGCTTCTTCACGTCAATCATGTCCTTTCCACCGGCTGTAACGTCCACTTGCATGTGTTCTGACGCACGTATCGCATCAACGACAATGTCGACAGTTTGCCGACAGAGGCGGAAGTGGCTGCGGAAATTCATGTCGCTCTGGAGGGAATAACGTGCTCGAAGTATCCCACCTGTCGCGGTACGCTAGTGCGGCGGGGTAAAGGGATATCGAACACTGCCGCACAGTCAGGATCACCGCAAACTGCGAGGTAAATAATCTCCTCCAACGACCGAGTTGAGGAGGACCCGCTGGCATTGACGGGCTTGGCGACAAGGGCGACAGCGGCAGCTACTATTGCAGCGACAGCCCTGCACTTTCTATGACGTTCGTGATCATCGTGATCATCCATTGCAAATGAAGCAACAACGTTCCACAAATGGAGAGAACAATCAAATAAGGAAAACAGGAAACAGTTCCTGAAATGCCAATAAAGCACACCATCACATGGAAAGGCTCCCTTTTTTGTGTCGACCAAACCCGTCCTGTGAACATGTTTCGATCGACCCCGCGCGCGCGCGCGCGCGCGCGCGAGCCACCCGCTTTCCGTAGAGTATTACTAGGACATGACGTACTCCGCCAGCAGTAATAGTACGCTGTACACATCGTACAACAGTACACTGTACATGCGTGCACTTTGACAGGAGCGACTTTTGTTTGGCGCACTTTTCCAAAAAAGTACTCTGTTTCTGGAGTACCGTTTGGTTGGCACCAGGCTGCTCCATGTGCACCGACTGTTCGATCCTGTTCTGGTTCGTACCAACCAAACGCACCCCAAGACTTGGGGCCGTATTGACTAAGGTTGAGTGTCAACCCAACATGTACACAGACCAACTGGAGCATTCGCATGACGCATTGTGCTTGACCAGAGTAATTGCCATCTCAACCCGCCACCACAACCCTTTTGCTGTCGGCATATTAGCAACCTCATCTGGTCAACCCTCTTCATGTAAAGCCTAGTTCACATTCGACGCGGCGCGACGGGACGCGACGTAAGGATCGACGGGAAGCGACGAGACAGTCTGACGGCGTCCAATGTGAACACCAGGAACGGGAACGCAACCGTACCGCCGTACGGATCGGGAAGCGACGGGAAGAGTTGGATCGATTCAATTTTTCATACCGTAGACAGGCGTACACGGGGACGCAAGCGTACAAAACAGCTGCATTTTGAGTGTGAACAGATGGTGTCGTGCGCCGACTGCTCCCGATTCGTATTTGGAAATTGGGTCCAAAAGTCACCCCATCACGGACCGTGCCTTATGACTGTCGCTGTTTGCTGTTGAACGACGCAACGACTGCAGCATGTCGTGTCGTACGAATCGTACAAGATTTTACAGCTCGCCCAGCCTTCCCGACAGGCCCCTACGTTCCGTACCGTCAGCGCTCCGTCGAATGTGAACTAGGCTTAAGCACCCTCAAATTTTCAAAACAGGTTGGTACTGCAATGAGTTTCGCCGAGCTGAAGACTACGCATACTACAGTACCTATTGACCATTGCCACCCGGTACAGGTCAGCTAACATGTTACTTCATTTCTCTGTGCTGCGCTGGTGAGTCCACAAGGGATGCAACAGAACTATCCGCAGATTGAGTAGAGCAGCATAGATGTGTTGCTACTGACCTGGGATAGACGACAGCGGACACCTTTGCTGGGAAAGGCTGGCGAGTCTGTTAGGTTCAACTCTAAAGAATGCTGAAAGCTAGTCTTGGTCCCGTAGCCAGCATGAAGGCGAATGGGCAGTGGTGTGTCAGGCCGCAAATCAGTAATATTGCGACAGTCAAACGACAAACCACATGAATACTGGCCCAGGCGAGTGGGGACCTATAGCATCAAGGGAAAACATGAACACACACACACACACACACACACACACACACACACACACATGCACATGCACCCAGCCGCACACATGCACACACATGTACACACACACGCACACATACACATGCACACACATGGACACACACACACACACACACACATACACACACAAGATCATGATCAGCAACCAACACCGCATCTAAATTCTAAAAGCACCACTACAAAGCAAGGTCAATGCCAATAGCCATGATTGAAAGCACAAAAAAGGAGCTTGGGTTGCCAAGTATGGATGTGCTGATATACTGTAAAAGCAGAAAATGTCGGTGGAGTTTCATAGGACCCATACCTTGAAGCCCATTGTAGTGCCTGTCGTCAAGTCCGTGTGCACCGAGGCGAAATGATTCGTAGTGCGTCGATAGAGAGATGAAAAGAAACTGAGAAGAAAGAGACAACCCAGTAGCATAGACAAAAATAGCCATCAGAATATTAACATGGCAATTGACCACTCTGTGTAGTCAGCGAGGATATACAGTATACCGTATTTCCCCGATTATAAGTCGCACCCCCATTTTCAGGTTTGAGCCATATTGTTTCAATCTATTCACTTCAGTACTAAGTCATGCTCGATTGTAAGTCACATCCCTTTTTGCCCTTGAATTTTTAGTGTAAAAGGTGCAACTTATATTCGGGGAAATAAAGTAGTTGAGCTAGGTGAAATCCGATCTCAAGCCTAGTTCACATTCGACGCAACGCCGACGGTACGGGACGTAAGGGCTTGTCGGGAGGGCTGGGGTGAGCTGTAAAATCCTGTACGATTTGTACGACACGACATGCAGCAGTCGTTGCGACGTTCACCGTCGAACGGCGCGAGTCATAAGGCACGGTCCGTGACGGGGTGACTTTCGGACCTAATTTCTCGTTTTTCGGGACTTCTCTTCAATTATTTCTCCTTGAAAGAAGCGGAATCAAGTTCACAATGCCAGTTTTTCATGAAGACCACAAAATTAGCCCTGAAAGTTGTGGCATTCAAATAACAGCCCCAGGAAATGATAGAATAGTTCGTCTGTCACGCTTCTGAACTATCCCAAAATACAATAAGTGACATGAGATCTTATGTTGCAAAATTCAACTCAAGTCGTGCTAGCCATTCTGTGACTTATCATGGGAAGCGCAGTGTTCGAAATGCTAAAAATTTCCAAGTACGAATCGGGAGCAGTCGGCGCACAACGCCGTCTCCTGTTCACACTAGAATTGCAGCCGTTTTGTACGCTTGCGTCCCCGTCTACGCCCGTCTACGGTATGAAAAGTTGGATCGATCCAACTCTTCCCGTCGCTTCCCGATCTGTACGGTAGTACGGTTGCGTTCCCGTTCCTGGTGTTCACATTGGACGCCGTCAGACCGTCCCGTCGCTTCCCGTCGATCCTTACGTCGCGTCCCGTCGCGCCCCGTCGAATGTGAACTAGGCTTCAAAATAAGTTCAAATGCATACCAGTACTTGGAGCCCTGGACTTGGCCAGACCTTCACACCCTGGACGTGGCGTGCATGCTGATAATCGTATAACTGTTACATACTAGTATGTGCAGCTACACTGCACAGCGATGCAATCGGAACTGGTCCAGGGCGCCAGCTTTGCACTCTGGGTCAGATTTCACCTAGGGCCACTGAAGAAAGTCCGTGTAAGATGTACTATTATGGTACTCTAGCTCACTTAGCTGCAGTACAGCCTAACGTTAGACACTGACAAGAATCTCTTCAGAGTTTGGAGGCTGCATTGTAGCTGGTTCATCATTCAACTATTACTACTAGTTCACCTACACCACCAGCACCAATCAGGAGTGTTGCAAAACAATGTTCAACTCCCTAAAACTTCCTAAATGTTTGCCCGTTCAAATCCAAAATGAAAGAAATCCACTGCTGCCTCAGTCACCGTTCATTAGGTTCTATACCCATGGTCCAGTATAATTGGAGACTTGATAAATACACAGGGACACAAGGAGATACATGTAATGCTACGCAGACCAACAGCCAACAGTTGTTCATGCCTCGACTACTGAAGCACTTACTTATATTGTGCAACTTGATGTGAAAACGGCTTGAGGAAGGTGATCTGCAGGAGAAAGCAAAAAAAAGGAATAAGCCAGAGAGAGAGAGAGAGATGTGCGTGCAAATCAATTCAACTTGGTCTGAAGTTCAAGTGAGATGTTTTACAAAGTTGACTGTACATGTGAAACTAAAGAAAGTGAACGCATGGTGTTCTGCAATGTTCCGGGAAAAAAGTGCCGACTCCATGCTTGTGCTTTCTTGCTTCCCACAAACACTTTGTTTCTAACAACTGAAAATGTACATGGGTGATGTCTGCACCAGCATACTGTCTAGTACTTACATCATACGAGGACGATCGACTATGACCGATGCACGCATTGATCTTTATCGGCTCACCGCCCCCCAAGACATTGATCATCTGGGCACTAATATTCTGCACACATTGAAGAAATACGCACACACGTATGAGCAGCCACCGACACATGCACACACGTGAGCAGGTGCGCACGAGCACGAGCACAGACACACACATACACATGACCGTACATGTCATGTTGACTGGTCAGTAACAGAAGACGCCATTGAGCGGCCAGTGCCGATATCACCGAGAGCAGCAAACTACAAAATACACACCACCACAAGGAGAATCAGCGGCCCCCCGGCAACCTATCTCCACTGTGCAAGTGTTCCTCCCTACAGCACAACATGCATCCACATGGGCACGTCCAAACAAACAGCTCATGGTGATCAGCAATTGATGAGGTGATCGAGACAAAGTCAATGTATCACCATTGCTGTCCATGTATCACCATTGCAGTTACTGTTTGAACACCAACATGCAAGTCACCAACGATGTTAGGGTTGTAGCCAGTAGGGGATTGAGGGAAGGGAGCAGGGAGAGGGTGTGCATATCTGTACAAATAGGGATCACTCCACACATGAAACACAGCAGGATAATATAGGTCTATTGCCACTCCACGCAACCGTAGCAATGAGCCGGCATAGTTCTGTACTCTCTAGTGATCTCATACACGCAATGCGTCTTACACAGGGGGAAAAAGGTGGGTCAGCAAGTCGAGCCACCCGTTGCACAGTGGAGTTTTCATAGGGGTGGGCAAAATGGGTGCAACGCTTGTCGCTATGCTTCGTCGTTTTGTCTACAACCCCAGATGACATGTAAGACACCGCCTAACCAAGCTGATAGAACAACACACAATGATACACCACCCAGCTCCTACCGTCAACACTTCATTGGCACCTGCTTCCATGCCAACATGAACAGTGTGTCGCTTCTTCTCCCGCAGCGAGAGCAATACCTCCAAAGCGTCCACATCTACAATGATGCACAAACAAAGAAACATACCCGCAAACTAGTTAGAGGTTTGCACGGCACAACCATATATTATGAATGTGAGACCGTCCGTGCCTGGCGAAGTGGTCTGTAGTACAAGGCTGGTCGCTAGTCACGGTGGTCTTTAGTTACAGGTTTTACTGTGCAAGTACATGTACATGTACTGCACAGGGTATGTACATGTAGAACATAGAGAGCCGGGAACACTTCAACGTGCACCCTGGTCCAAGTCTCTACACAGATTAGTGACACGTCCACCAGCAGAGGCAAGACATAAGTAGTGCAGCACACATGCATAGCTCAGTCATCCATGTGACCAAGCAAGCAGAGCTCTGACTATCACAAGTGCATGCCCGGGGGGATTACTTACCGTCCATGGCATCCACTTGACTGGAGACGCTGTCAAAGATACCGTACGCGTGCAGGTGAGTATGCGCTGCCTTCAGGTTCTCAAACAGCTAAGGTTTAGAATCCCGGCAAGAACAGCACGCAAGAGCAGCCAAATGAGCGCACAATACACGACACACACACACAAGTTTCAAAAGAAAGTCAGATGAGGGAACTATGCAATAAATATAGGAGTACAGGCATAGGACCCAGTCACACTTCAATACAATAGAATACCACAGCTACAAACCGAGATACTTATAGCACCACAGCCCCTACAGCCCCTGATGTGCACACACACAAGGCATGATGTGCTGTTCAGCTGCGATGCTAAGCTTCACGCGGAAAAGGCTCATTGAGCGCGGAACTATAGCCAAACGTTCCATGTGTGTACATTATTGCTCTGCACCCTGGTGCATAGAGCAGCCTATTCAAGCTACTCTTGACTTGCACTGATTGCATAAGCATTGATGGACATACCTGTGTACATGGCGTGAAATGTATGCCCTAACGCAATGGCTCTATCCTTAGATACATACACTCTGCTGCCGTGCAACACACTGTTACACAGCCATACCGGCACCAACACCGCAGGTAGAGGAATGTTCAACACTACCCTCACTTCCACTGATAACACCTGCCAATTGGCAGCAACTAGCGACTACATGTAAAGCAAGGGCAATGTGTGCACTTGTCGCACAAACTGACAGGTGTCACCAAGGAATAGCACAAGAACTGTGACATGAGCTCACACATCACCACGGAACATAGGATGATCAGGTGCAAAAATAATACGATCAGGCTGGAAAACGGCACAAGTCTTTGAATTTGTTGCGTTTTCCAGCAAGAATGATCCAAGCTAGATTTAAGATTTTAAAAAGAATGCATGTACTGTTTTCTACAGTTGTACTTTCCACGTGGCGTGACCACATTGTACGGACGGCTCTAGTCAAGATACAATGTACATGCGTAGTACTGTAATAGCTGTTGTCAGCATCTGTGTAGGGCAATATGACCTGGATCCGTTGTGGTAGTACTAGGTGCGCTACGTGCACCGCGGATTGCCTCGTCTAGACTCCTTTGTTTGTACCTGGCCGTTGTACGTCTTTGTGCGCCGCAGTCGGCCTTGCAGCCGGTGCTCACCAACTACCAGTGTTGGTTAGTTGAACACAGAAAGCAGCCAACGGTAGTGGGGCTTCTCGAGCGGATCCCGCAAGAGATGGAATACCGTACAGTGGCAGCAGAGCTGTACATGGCGTGGCAGTGGGAGCACCTGCAACAGCACCAGGCACTGCTCGTCAGTTTGACAGCGGCAGACCAATCCGTCATCACCGTACACATAAGACGCCCAGTCAGAAAAGTCAGGCAGAGCATGTGTAATCTGAGAAGGACCATACAGGCCTTGGAGTCGCAAGACGTTCCACGATGCCAGCGTCGGCGAACGTTGGGACCTCGCCAAGAAACACACGCTATGTTTCTGGTGTGTGGGAACTGGACATTCCGGCTAGTCCTGTACACGATCAGCAACCTGCGACATTGACGGGTGTGTGCGTAAGCACAGCACGTTACTGCATACTGGGCCTGATAGAAAAGCTGACAAGCCGGCAGCAGACAGTGAAGGTCAACAGCCATTGCTTCAGATGCCCAGCAGACTGCCAACAGTACGGCATCGTCAAGGCGGGTCCGGTGTGTCTGCCCAGTGTTGACTCCGAGAACCACGGTCGGACGAGCTGCCCAGGCCTCACCACCACTGCCGGTTCTGTGCTGCCTTCTCTATACATACGCATGTACACTGCATAAGTGCAAATTCACATGTCTGAAGGTTTGTGGTTTTCAATAAAAAAAGGCAAGGGGTTGAGGGATTGAGGTGCAAGGTATGTCAACCTTCGGGCAGCTGAACAGGTATCCGAGTCACACAGCGCAGTGCCGCGCCAGTAGTACTGACAGAAGTATAAAAGTCAACGATGGTAGCACCCAGTCTTACGTCAGTCACACAGCTGCATCACTACTAGGCCTGGGCGGCCCTGCTCATACACAAAATGTGGCAGTTCTAAATGGCAAGGAGGCCACACTCATGACAACAGCAGTAGAGTGTGAGCTGCACTCAGTGGACGGAAGTGTCAAGACGTCGGTGGCGCTACTGACAAGCGACCGCCCCTCTGGACGTATGAAACCGGTTAACTGGCAATCTATGCAGAGGCAGTGGACGCATCTTGCTGAAATACCATTTCCGGCGTTGGGCAAGAAGCCATACATTGACCTGTTGATTGGTGTTGACCATGCTGAACTACATTCAGCGTACCAAGAAGTCCACGGGTCACCAAGTGAGCCCGCTGCCAGACAGACACCACTCGGTTTGGACACGTATTGCAAGTCCACTGGCCATGGGAATCCAAAAAGCAACACCTTTCCATGCAGCAACACTGGCACATGCACATGACATCCCCAACATCAACCAGACACAACAAGCAACACCATTCCATGCAGCAACACTGGCACATGCAGATGACATCCCCAACATCAACCAGACACTTTGGAAGTTCTGGGAAGTGGAAAATGTACATGACACCTTAACCCTCCGTGCTATACACAATTCGACGGCCTTTGCTAAATAATGGAGAAATGGCGGAGCAAAAAGGGTTAACTAGAGCCGTCTGTACACGCATCGTATGTTGCTCTCCAAGATCGCGGAATGAGAAAAAAAACATTTGACCACTTTAGAACAATGCTAGGCTGCGCCTTCAGCCCCTGCGTTCTTCGGCACCCAATCTTTTAAATTATTTGTAGCAGAAGAACTGTGACATGGATCCACACATCACAATGGAATACGTGTCGCACACAAACTGTGACACGGGTCCACAGTCTGAGACAGCCTTGCAAGTCCAATGGTTGCACTGGACTTATTCACTGAGCAGAGAAAGTCTTACCTCTTTCTGTGTGGTAGAACCCAATATGCTCTTGACTTCAGGCACAATAAGACTGGATTTGGTCGCCTTGGCCCCTTTCACCTTGACCTTGCCAACCTTGATCTATACACACACACACACACACACACACACACACACACACACACACACACCGATGTGCCAGATGAGAGACTGCCGGATAAGAAACATGCAGCGGTAAAGTGTCGATTGGTCGAGGCATGTGCAAAGTCATAGGCTGGTTACTATAGTATATTTGACAAACGATGTGGCGTACGTGGAGCACAACTGTGGCAGTGATCTCTATCTTTGTGCGCCAAGTATGAAGAATCCAATCAGCCTATCGTGTACGTCTGAGTGGAGTTCAATGGGAATGATGTAGTGCAGTACTGGATTTTGTCAAGAGAATTTGAAATCGTGCATAGTCGTTAATTCGATAAAAAAATAGCCCCTGTGCCTGACATTACAATGGACACTGTCTTTAATTAACCCAAATTCATTCTCAGTACATGTCAAGGAGAAAATATGCTAAAGACACCCCGACAGCAGGATCCCGCAAAATCAACAACAGGAACGACTCGTTACGCACAACCAAGAACATAACTTACGGGCATCTCTTCGCCAATTCCATCCTATGAAATTCAAAAGCACACACATATCAAACATTGCAATTTGCAATTCCAAAATTGCAACAAATACATGTACGATGGTCGGAGAAACGTAACGATTATACCTTTCTCTCCTGTTTCTGCTCCATGGCGAATAAATTCCCCCCGGGCAGTATTCAGCGGAAGTAAGGAGGGTGAAATGGGACATCAACAGCACTGTATATGTACTCAAAACGACATTCGAAATGGGCGACGAGTGAAGGTGTACTTCAAAATTACATTTCCCATATGCAGGATTATGAGTTTTGTCAAACATCCACTGCCAGTACACAGCGTTGTTAGTTTACCTCTAAAAATACACGTGATGTCCAACCCTTTTCGCCTAAACCAGGCCGGATCGTGTATACAGGCAAAAAAGGCTCGAAATCAAGTGTAGAATTAAACGCAAATCTACCAAAACAGGAAAATTTGTATGACATAATCCTGTGGTTGGCTGCAGGGAGTCGTCAAATACAGGGAGTCGTCAAATACCGACGACTCCCTGGTTGGCTGCATATTTTTCATTTCAATTATAATTAAATTTTTCGATTTGCAGATAGACTACTAGACATTATAATAATTATTATTAGTATTTCGATTCAATTACTTTGACACAGAATCACCTGATCACAATCAGCGATTGCATGTTCAAACAAAGGTGGCTGGATGTTTACCAATGTTCAGGTCCAGTCGAATATCTAATTTTGCTGCATTGGGCACAAAATTTGCCTTGAACCGATCTCGAGGGTATTTGGTGTTGCTCAATCTTCCGAGAACTTTCTCCACGTCCTCGAAGATGGAAAGTGATTGTAAAGGCGTGCGAGAATATGAAGAAGGAGGTGTAAAACTGCTCTTAAGTCCTGACCATGCCACTCCAAATGCCGAAGAAGCTTTCTATAACCCTGTCATGAGGATAAATCGGTGCGTTCTTGTTCACAATAAAATGATGATTCTGGCTGATGTAATTCTCACACTTACAGTACACAGTGGACGTAGATGTTGCAAGACCAAGTGGGGAAATTATGGAATACAGTCAAATGGCTGACCACTACGTCTAGGGCCATGCATGTTGGGTAACTGATACTTTTAATTTTCATAAACCAGTATGATTAATAGATATACATGTACCGTACTCACTCGATTGGCTTCTATTTTTCCAATGCCAATTCTGAGGCGGCTTCCATTCAAGAGAGGCTTTTGTTATTTTAAATTCTCAATCCATACCAGTGTTCCAAATCAATCCCTAAAACTGTCATATTCAAAGCAACTCGGCCTCAAGTTAGTTTGCACACACTACGTCGACCTAGACATGTGCCGGTATGTACATGCCGAGATGTTTTGTATGCACTTGACCTTACCATACATGGCATTACCTGGTCACCCTATGCTTTGCGAATAGTAGTCCGCTCTTCTATTCAAGACGGGCTTGTAACATTTCAAGCGGTTGTCCCGGAGGGGGGGGGGGGGGGGGGGGGCTGCTAATGCTATTCAAGAGGGGTTTCTAGTCGAGTGAGTACTGGTTGTAAATCAATGTAACCTTGAAAGTACAGTGCTGCTGAATGAAATACGATCGAGTGAGTCAAGTATGCGCCAGGTGCTCTGCAGCCTTAGACTGTGAACACAGGGCTGTGAACTGGTGCAAACTTGACTCACACGATCGGGGGGGGGGGGGGGGGGGGGGCATTCTGCAGTACTGTACTTTCAAGTTTGTTATTGATTATTGATGTTTTGCTACTGTCATCATTTCGTCATACATCGCCGTATGTGTGCATGCAAGAGTACATAAACCAGAGTGTGCAGCTCCACATCTATGCCACATAGAACCGATCCCACGGCGAAGATTTTTGTTTAGGCCATCATGAGCCAAAGAAAACCTGTCATATCGTAGGTCAGTGCTAAGTCACCGTATCACTGAGGTGATGGCGGGAAATCACTTTAAAAAAACGTTGTACAAACCGCAATACGCACACAGAAATCTTGGCAATACGATAAAATGACTACCTGTATGTGAACCGGCGTGAGATGCAGCAGAGGTACATAGTCACTATGACCTAATCAAAACAAAAACTTTGCCGTGGGATGGCTCTCCCGGAGCTGCACACTCTAGTTTATGACTGTACTCTGTAGTGCATGTACCGTAAAGTACCGCCAGAACACCCCACCATCTCGTCCTTTCGTGGTTGTATTATGGAGGTGGCCTGGTGTCTGTAGGTCATACGATACGAACCTTGTACAGATATTGCACGTTTTTTCGTCAATCCGTACCTTCGAGCGGACATGAGCTCCACACAAAAACCTGCTAAATGCGACCTTAGTACATTAAGGCTGCGTTTACACGACAACGCACGGCCAGTTTTTCCGTTTTCAGTCCCGCATTTCTTTTTTTCGTTTTCATGCATTTACACGATCCGAGCTGGCCGAGGTGGTCTCGGTTTGTATCGTTTTTGCGCGTCTACACGGGAGCAAAGGATCCGCAAAAGTTCGACATGTGCCAAGTGTTGCCGTGGAAGTACCAATCACACTCAAGTAATGTTTGAAAACAGGCCACACGACAGGACTCGTCACATGATGAAAATTGTAAAAACAATTTTTTTGATTGTCGGATCCGTTTGAACGGCCGAAAACGGAACAAACGTGACGGAAAACGAGGCCAGCAGACCGTTTCGACTGTTTACACACCCAAATTTATCCGACAGAACATTTCCATTTTCAAATTCTTCCACCTTGGCCAGTGTTTTGGTTTTCTTCCGTTTCGGTGTACAACTTTTACGTTTTGCTCCGAGTACCGTGTAAATGAACCAAGCATCCGAAAGGGTTTTGTGGCGTTTTCACCCCCAGCGTTGTCGTGTAAACACAGCCTGAGGTTCTCACACCGTCCAAACTTCGTTGCGCTCTGCCATACGATTTTCCTTTCCCTGGCTGAAAAATCAAGGTGGGGCGCTCTCGCGAGACGGGGCGCTCTGGCGGTACTTTACAAATTACGGTACAGTCAGACCTCGCTTATCCGGTCCTCTTTTATCCGGATCCCTCGCCATCCGGAAGAAAATCGTTGGTCACCGATTTACAGCATATGCCATTGATGCATACAGTATGTGTGTTCCATTGCCCGGTTCCCTCGCCTATCCGGATATTTTTGGGGAAACGGATGTATGCGGTTATGCGAGGTCTGACTGTACAAGTATAGTGTGGAACTGTGGATGTCTAACTATGTTATGTGTCACTGTGTGTATGCATGTGTGGATTGGTGCTTGTGTACTTGTCAATTCTTCAGGGAGATTCTCCTGTGCGCTTTGTCTGTTGTCAAGAGCCGAGCCGTTCGCCCTGTGCAGTGCCTTGATGCCTTCTCTGCAACCGGTACGTTGTCATGACTACCGTCAAGATGGCACGTATCCTGATGGTACATGTACTGTGTACCTGTGTGCATAGGCCAGATAGGGTGATGCGTGTACGGACTCAGTGCACGGAGGTATTTAATTTGGCCGAGTTTCGATTTGCGCTAATGTACCCAAGTTGCCGATAGCTGATAGTCGCAACATGTACTTTTCGCCCACCTGACATGCAGCTGTGCATATGATTTTGTGTGTATTAGGAGTGTCTGGTCTGCGTTGGCTGAAAGAACTAGGAAATTCTCCCGCAACCACCACTGCAAACGTCACGAGTGAGCATCTGACGCGTGATGACCGAGAGCCAGTGGATGGCACCGCAGGTAGGGATGCACACACTGATCCAGCAGGTGCAAATGCGACCACACCTGACAAGGACCATGCTCCGGCCAATGCTAAGCAGCCTCTCCTGGTATCGATGTGTGACATTAGCCCAGCTGCGTGTCAGGACATTGTGGAAAACTGCAAGCTGAACGGTGTGAATGTCGCGGTGGAGGAGGCAATTGGGTTACGAGTGAAACTGGATCCAGCAGCAGAGGAGGGATTGCGTTTACAGTCGTCAGAATCCGACGCAGGCCCTGAGCCAAGCTGTAAGCGCACAGCAGTGGCTACCAAAGCCCTACCAACTGGTGCACAATCTACCGAGACTACTGGTGAGAGTAGTGAAGATGCACTGCCAGCATGCATGGACAAAGCCTCACTGTACTGCCTTGATGCCAATGTCCTCCTACACATGCATGCTTTCTCTTTCATGTAAGTACAGTGTAGTGTAGTGTAGTTTAGTGTGAGCAGCCATATAGCACATAGCCCATCTGCATCTGCTATTTATGTGTACTTCAAAGAAGTACAAATGCCATGACTGTGAGTTTTTGCCACTGTCCTACTTCAACAGCGCCACCCACCTGTATGTGCAGCGATTTCCAATCGATAGGTTGCGGGTTCGATTCCCGACGATTATGGTCACACACGTCTTTCTTCTCTTTCTCAGACTCTTCCTGACTTTTCTTTCATTCTCCTGGGTGGTTACCAACAGCCAGTGCATGCCGGAGTATGTGGTGTGATGGTGTGTGCGGGAAAAAATGAAAAGACCAAAAATAGGGATTCACTGGCCAGAAAAAGTCACTTCAAATAGCTGTATGGTGTAGACCAAGCTGAATAGTGACGGTCAATTCTTCAGCCTTGCAAGCTGTTGAATGGTGCAATCCCAGCACAAGTAAGTTGCTATGGCTTCTGCCGTAGCATTGCTATCATCGCCTCCGGCGATGGGCGTCAAAAGGTGTGTGTCCCATGTGGTGCAGTGGTATGTGCAGCGATTTCCAATCGATAGGTTGCGGGTTCGATTCCCGCAATCATGGTCACACACGTCTTTCTTCTGTTTCTCAGACTCTTTCTGACTTTTCTTTCATTCTCCTGGGTGGTTACCAACAGCCAGTGCATGCCGGAGTATGTGGTGTGATGTGTGTGCAGAAAAATGAAAAGACCAAAAATAGGGATTCACTGGCCAGAAAAAGTCACTTCAAATAGCTGTATGGTGTAGACCAGGCTGAATAGTGAGGGTCAATTCTTCAGCCTTGCAAGCTATTGAATGGTGCAATCCCAGCACAAGTTGCTATGGCTTCTGCCGTAGCATTGCTATCATCGCCTCCGGTGATGGGCGTCAAAAGGTCAAAGGTGTGTGTGTGTGTGTCTGTGTCTGTGTGTATTACGTGCTTTTCCTGTGCGTAGACACCTGGATCCGTTTGGCAGTTGTGCACCTTACTTGAGTGCAGCGTTTGCCCGTGCTGGCACAGGCTCTGTAGTTGCTCTCACCTCTACGGATCCCATGACGCTGCTTGGCCGCGTGCCCAACATAGCCGCGCGTAACTTCAACGGCTGCCAAGTGCGAAACGTGCCGTTTGCTCGAGAGCTGGCGGTGCGAATGCTGTGCGCTGCAGCTGTCCAGTAAGTGTGCGTGTATGGGCTGGTGGTGTGAATGTGATACAGTCTGTAGAGATATTGACGTTGCATCTGCACTCTACAAACTGGCATTGCTGCAGCATTAACAGCAAATGCACGACTATGTGTATACGTGCACTTTAAAGGTGGGTTAAGATGGCAAACCCATGATTCTGGACCATGTACGAGAGCTGCACAATAATTCAATCTTGTGATATGTTGTTGTTGCTGCTGTTGTTGTTGTTGTTGTTGTTGTTGCTGCTGCGCTACAGAGCTGCCGCACCGCTCTTGAAGAGCGTCGAGCCACTGTTCTGCATGTCACGCAACCACTTTGCCACCGCTGTGTTCCGTGTGTCACGCGGTGCACAGCGCACTGACGCCTGTGTTAGTGCGGTGCAGAAGCTATTCGTCTGCCTGCAGTGCGGCGACTGCTGCTTTGCGCCGGCCGGGAGTAATGGAGGTATGATCACTGATTGAGGCATTCTCCCGCCATGGTATTGTATTGTATTTTGTATTAATGGATTCTCCACAGGCCTTAGCCTAAATCGAGGGAGTCTCCGTCTGGGCATGCAGAGTTCTGCACTGTCCATGACTTAGTGCTATGTACATGTATAGAGAAACCTATCCAGTGTCTCTCGTGCAATGAGTAATAGACAGCAGGCTGTTCATTTTGAACCCTTTGCCACCTTGGTCTGGTGTTGTCAATGTCTCTTGTTTTGTTTTTTTCTTCAGAGTTGTTCCCTTTTTCTTTTCTCTCGTTCTCTCTCTCTCTCGTCTCTCTCTCTCTCTCTGTCTCTCTCTCTCTGTCTCTCTCTCTGTCTCTCTGTCTCTCCGTCTCTCTCTCTCTCGTCTCTCTCTCTCTCTCTCTCTCTCTCTCTGTCTCTCTCTGTCTCTCTCTCTCTCTCTCTCTCTCTCTCTCTCTCTCTCTGTCTCTGTCTCTGTCTCTGTCTCTGTCTCTCTCTCTCTCTCTCTCTGTGTGTGTGTGTGTGTGTTGCTCAGGGCATGAGTCACTATCGTGTGAGTGCAGTCACAAACCGGGCGTGGGACGGATGTGGGTTGAGCTTGGCCCAGTTTGGTGAGTATGCTGCTGCTGCACAGTAGAAAACAGTGCCATGATCACTGGGATAACCCATCCATGTAAGCCATGCAAGAAAAATTCATATGGCACTGGCATTCAGTGTCTCGAATATCCCTCGCAACCAGGCAGGTAGTAACTTTCAGTCGTCTAGTGTGTGTGTGTGTGTGTGTGTGTGTGTGTGTGTGTGTGTGTGTGTGTGTGTGTGTGTGTGTGTGTGTGTGCGCGCGCATGCATGCGCGTGTCATTCTTTCCCTTCTGTGCACCGTTGAGTGTAAGGTGCACTACCAGCAGAAAGACTGAATACTGCACCGCTGTAAACATGACGATGCCTGTGCACGGGTGTGCATTCCTTTCTGTCTCTTGCCAGGTCTGGACGCTTATTCGAGCAGAGCTTTCTGGGCGACATGCAAGAGCATTCACAGCACTTGAGCATAATGGGCACGGGTCGTACTCTTCTTGCTCAACTTCTTGAGGAGGCCGAGGTTGAAGAAGCGGCAATGGGAAAGCTGAGCAAGGCAGCGCTATGCTCACCTCGTCCATGTGCGCACCAGGGTGCTTTCTATCACCGGCTTAGCAACTTTGGCAAGAGGGGCTGTGACCCTCCAAGGTGATTATGATAATACTGTGCTTTGCGGCGAACCTATCCCTGTAACCAACTCTGCTGTGTTATGCGCTACTTGTCATCAGCCACATTGTGTTTGATCTGCTTCGTGCTACCCCTGTAATAGTAAGACCATGAAAGAGAAGTTCTGCTGGCAGACTACAATGTTCTCGCAGACCCTTCATGCGTCAACACTCATAAGAATACGGGAAGATTTGTTTTGCATGAAACGGAACTGAATCTCAACAGCTCTACTCTGAATAGCCAACTTTGGCAGACGAGTACACAAATAGAAAGCACAATAATCTGTCTGCCCACAGTCGAGATTCGGAACAGAAATCCAAATGAAATCGGTCAACTTTTCGAGCATGCTTTCGTTTTGCAGAACCGCTTTAATGTGGACGGTAAAGTCTTGAGGCCTAGCCTTCGGATGGTGGGTTGTTGTGCATGATGTGATTGAAATGGAAACTCGCGCGTCTGATTTCTTTGGCCACGACTGCACATTCAGACATTTCTATAGAGGATATGCAAGTAATTAGTTCACGGATTCATTACCGATAGTCTATACGAGTTGTACGGAACGAAGAGGTGGCAAATTAATTGCCCTAATGTGGATGTGGCAGTACATTCATGACCCCTGGTGTCACCTGGGTAACCTCTATTTAACCCTACGCATGGGTCTGGCTGTAATCACACATGCATGCATGCTTTGAAAGCAATCAAACACCATGTCATTCTGTTGCTGCTTTTCTTGTTTTTCTTCTCATATTGTATAGCTTCTCAGCGGTATTAAAAAGCCTACGGGAGAAAGGATATGCTGCGGGCAGAACTCATTTTGAAACCAACACCATCCGCAGTACAGCTATCACTAGAGAGTTCCAGGACGTCATTGATGCATTAGCAGTGCCGACGAAGAAATGAAGGAGAAGTGTCCATGCAACAGCGCCAGCCGTGTGTTTCTTGAGCCAGTGGCGTTGAGGCAGCTTGCACGTTGCTGTTGAGAATTTGGCGCGAGTCACCGCATTCTCAAAAACACACGACTGCATGCCCACGTACCCAATTTTATCCTGAACAAATTTCAGAACTGACTAAATCAAATTTCCTTTCGTATACACCTGTGTTGTAGTTTGTTTAGGCTTTTTTGTTCTGCCTTAGGAGCTGGTTAGCTTTGCACAACAATATTCCTATTGTTTTACTGCCTTTCTCAAAGTGCGAAGACTTCTTCCTCTCGATAATTCCCTCTTTTTTTCTTTTTATAGTGATTGGTGGAGCCCAGAGACCTTTTCGGAGAGTGTTGTGAAGACGCACGGGTATAGTTTTCCTGCCTAAAGAGTTTTCAGTGAGTAGTTGTACATGTAGCCTGACGGCATGTCACATGATATGTCACATGATATTCTCACACAACACTCCTGCTCAAACACGGGTATGGACCATGCTGGGCTCACGGTGATGGAATGCATCCGACAGTCAGAACTGTGTGAAGCTCTGGCAGCAGAACAAGTGGCCGAAACTGGTCTCCAGGACAGAAGCGCGCGCTTGTTCCACCAACCGGGCACATTCACACAGGAGGAAACAGAGAGTGCAGTGCTTGGCGGCTGCTCTACATATTATACAGGCAGATACAGGTCAAATCAATTGTAGGGTATCCACGGGAGTGCGGAAAGAAATGCGTTGTGTACAATGCCTAGCACAGGATATCAGCGTACCAGGTCACCAGAGAGTAAGCTCAACAGAAAGTAAAGTAGAATGGGTTTGAAAAAAAACTGGACACCTGCCAGGTATGAAACATCCTGAGCACATTCAAACAGTGGCAATGCAATTGAGTACAAAAGTAGATACCGGTAAATCTCGGAATGAATTTTCAAGTTGCAAAGAGCGTATTTCTGTAAAATATTTGTAAACAATACTAATAATTGAGTAAGACATGTGAATAACTAACTTAGCTATATTCGTAATGGTCATAATGAATTTGAATGAATACAACTCAACGTACTCAAATTGAGCCTAGGCTGGCTCATCAGCATTTTCTTCAACTGCACTGTCCGACTTGGGCAAGTTTAGATGGCTCATCAGCATTTTCCTCAACTGCACTGTCTGACAATTGGGCAAGTTTAGAGGCGAGAGAGGACGCAAAGGAGAACCGATACATGGGACTGACAGCGTCCAGAAGCATATAGATGGTTTCACAGTACGGTTCATCAGTAACACTCGTTGTGTCGTAGTCGTATCCAACCACCTAGTGAACAGCACACAACATACCATACCTGACTCTCAACGTGTGTCTGTCGTACTGACGTGCGACCATGATGCATTTTTAAACACCACAAAACACGTAAATGATCGTTCTCACAAGTAAGCCACGGCAAAGTGAGAGCCCTACGTAGTTACGACAATGAGTAACAAAAGCATCTCTCCTACTCTAGCCATGGTACAAAAAAGGCGCATGAATATGAAATGACCAGTGTCATTCGTACTGGCTGGGCTCACTCTCTCTCTCTGCACAGGTATTTCCTATGTACATGTACTATGAAGAATGCACCCAGTGCGGTCTCGCGTTCCACAATATGGCACCACATCGGCGATGCTTCCATCAAGTGGCTCGGCGCTCGCCACTACAGCTGCAATATACCGCTGCCCCAGCAATGCTACATACCGCCATGGGCCAGCCAACTCCCCAAGCATGCACCATAGTAGTGACCATACCATAGTATATACGAGAGCTATATCAACTGGCACAATCTGGTACACCCTGTGCACGAATGAGAAAGATTCATGCTGCATATTGCACTGTACATGTACTTCCATTCAAACTAATACTCTGAGTAATAGTATTGCTTACATGTACAGTGCTGCTCAATGAGAGCGAGTGCATGCCACATCGGGTGCTGTGCAGCCCTAGACCTGCGAACATCGGGATGTGACCTGGCGCAGGGCGCAAACCTGGTTCACACGATCGGATTTCAAATCATTTCATTGAGCAGCACTATACTCTACAAGACGGTAGACGTCATGAAACCACATGACTCTCCATCCATGGTACCGTCAACAGTAAATAAGCTCCCGAGAGTGTGCAACTCTGCATACAGGGCCTCCGATGGCGAAAACTCACATTACGTGTTCAAAGTACGATTTGTACTACGTATAAGGAAGGCTAGCGCTAGCAGCGAGCGCGCAGTCCGAATACCTGCCAGGATCATGCTGATGACTCATATAAGCTGAGCAGATTTCTGCGAGGGAGTGCTCCTATTTCAATTCCATTGTCGCTAAAACTGGCTGGGAATGTACAATGGGAATACTACACCACGTGATGAGAGTTTTCACCGTCGGCGGACCCCACAGAAAGGGTATCCAGAAGTGCACACTCTTGGGAACTTGTGTGCTCTTGGTACCGTGTATAGCCCTTCACTTGACATAGTTTGGCACATGCACTGACTGTGACTTTGATTCTAGGAAGCTACCATAATTACTATGTGCTTTTACGCAGAAAATTCGGAGATGGTGTCCAAACTAAACACTGAGCAATATGCATTACAGTTTGTGTCTTTCCCTCAAACCAGTGAATATGCATTACACCAGTTAGTTTCCCTGGAGCTTGCCCCATTGAGTTAACTAGACTAAATTTTACTAGCGGTAACAAGTTCCACGACATTGATACCATACTACAGGTGGAATCCTGATAATTCGAATATGGCTTAATTCGAACATACCGCTTAATTAGAAGTTTTTCCAGGACCGATTTCTATCAATACGATTCCCACATAAAATTTCTGATAATTCGAACCTCGAACTGGACATGTCGGCTAATTAGAAGTCCCACAGATTCCACTTACATAGAAAATGTGTGGGATTTGTGCTGATAATTCGAAGTTAGCAAAGTGTAATTCGAAGTTCACTGTACACTATACAGGTCAGTTCAGTTTGCATGAGCAGGCTGTGCCGGTCAGTTCAGTGTCCGTAAAATTTGTGTCTAAGGTCCATAGCGCAACTCTGCGTGACCATGAGAGCATTTTGACATACATATTGAGTTGTGGGTTCATGTTTGGATAATTAGAATGTCCGGATAATTAGAAGTTTTTTCCTGGCATTTTGAGGTTCGAATTATCAGGATTTCACCTATAGTACTGTCTACAGCATATTGACGTACTCACCCTAAAGCCACTTGGGCACACCTCAATGCAATATCGACTCTTCTCCTTGGTTTCAATGTTGAGGTACACTGCCTCAGCACTAGCCTCCAAGGTTGCTGACAAGCGTACAGCATTGACGCAAGAGCCAATATCTTTGCCAACATCCTCCGCCTGTTCCAGCAGAAAGGCAGCCGCATCTACGGGGCCGGAATCCTCAGCAGGACTATCACAAGGACATGTGCCAGAGCCTTGCTTGTCGGTGTCTGTCATACTTGTAGTGCCTGTTCGTAGTACTTGATTGATTGATTGATTTCTAATACTAGAACCTCTGCCTAGGCTGCATGCACCGTTTACATCCACTCATCGACAGTGAGTCCAAAATAAATCCCTCACCGGGTCACCATTTCGAGCAAAGAGTCATCAAATACTCCCTGATTTCGAGGATGAAAGAAGAAAATCGAAATGTCCAAAATGTATCCAACAAGTGTCTGCACAAAACATTTTGAAAATGTCATTTTTTGAATCTCATGTCATCATTGATATTATCTCATCGCGCGATATCGCGACACACATTTTTTATATCAGGGAGTCAAAAAGTGTTTTGACCGAAAAAGTGCCAAAAATCGGGTGCAAAACATTTCACCAAAATAATGGGTAAAAATGTGCATGATCTAGCGATCTACATGTACCGGTATATCTGAGCTATCGCAGTGAGGGGGGGGGGGGGGGGGTCGAGGACCCTGACTTGTCAATAATTTACTTTTGTGATCTCAGTGATCATACAGTGAGTGCATGCACCATGTACCAAGCAAGTGTCTATAATCATCACCCCTACCAGTATAGCCATACTAGTATTAGCCCTACAACGTTTTTGTAGGCCAGGGATACACGGTCACAGCCCCCACCCCCACCACATTATTGGGGGGGGGGGGGGGGTAATAAGGACGTCAGCTCATATGTATGGGTACCAGGTGTGAAGAATGTTCGCAAAATTAAAAAAAAAACATCACTAGCACTGAGCGGCCCACTGATGCATCTGATAATTTTGCAGGCCGATAACAATGCTACACCGTCATTGTGCCATTGAACTGAACAGAAAAAATAAACCACCTACATGTACACCTACATGTAATATTATCATAGCCTAACGGTAAGTGGGAATGCAGCTCTGTGCCATACACACCAAAATTTGAAATCGGAAACACGATAATGAACAGATCCGAAACTAGAATGAAAAAAGGCTCAAAAATATTACCATGGGCTCAAGGCACTCTAGAAATCATCACATGGCCTTGCTGACACTCACAGTCATTGAAGCGTAGCACGAGGTCACAGCATCTCCATAGGAAGCATGCGGCAAGGCGTACGTACACCGAAGAGACTTCAGCACTGCATACCTATGCAGTAAGCTGCTGCTGATGCAGTACACAGCTAGTGTTGCCTTTGTCGCGGCCTTCACGCTGTGCACCGTGCCGCTGAAGCATCATGCTGGGATTACAGTTAACACGTATACTCAGACCGAGAGCACAGCCGTGACATCGCCGCATGTAACACACTAAGTAAATACTACTGACATCTAGGAAAGACGGAGACTGAGTCAAATTTCAATTAAAAACAAACAAACAAGTGATACAGACTAAGCTCATCTGACAAAGACTAAGCTCATCTGACAAAGACTAAGCTCATCTGACATAACTAGTTGTTGCTAGAATCTGCTGCACTAAGCGGCTTGCTCAGTCCCGGCACCAGACCCGGTTTGGGATACTCCCGTGACGACAGTGATCATACCCGCCGTGTCACGACCGGCCGTCGCAACACGAGGGTTTAGTTTTTCCATCGGATTGTCTGTAGTAAGCAGTAAAAGGAGTTCAGCAATAGAACAATTTCTCAATTGTATCACTGCCCTAAAAAGCCGCTAAATCCCAGCGAGCAGCAACAGTTGGAATACGCCAGTTTACAAGAAAAAGGACAAAGGAACATACCCTTACATTCACTGGTGGGTACTGCACCTATTGCTACAGATGCGGTGACCACATTTCAGAAGCCTGGGAAGGGGTGCGCTCAGCTATTCTTTGCCCACACGAAAAGGGTCAATAAATCCTCATCCTATGGATGAAATCAATACATAAAGCTGCTTCGTTTTGACCAGGTTAACACCGGCGCATACATGCACACAGTCAGAGGGACTATGACCAGGGGCGTATCCAGGGGGGGGGGGGGGGCGATAGGTGCTCGCGCCCCCTTCAGGTTTTGCCAGAATGGTATTTGATAATTTGATGGCGTGACTATGATCAATGGGTTAAAAGAAAAGTTGCCATTGTATTTTTGGCACTCCTCAGGTTACAGTCCTGAATCCGCCCCTGATGACCACATGAACACAGCGTGTGCATATACAGTCAACTTTGCGCATAACAACATTCGACGGGGCATTAGAAAAGTGTCCTTATTCGCGAAATGTCCTTATACCCGAAGTCTCATTATATGTATTACAGTTTGATGGGACTTTGCTCTGGGCATGGAAATTCTGTCGCTATTCGTGAATTGTCGTTATATCCGCAGTCGTTATTAGCGAAGTTGACTGTATATCATTGTGATGCATTCAGCTACATTGCACACTTACCGAGTTTTGCAGCAGGTTGGCGGCGTCCCTGCGGTGGCTACTGTGTCCAGGCAGTCTGTCATGGTACTGAGTGAGAGCTACCCGGTCACGCTTTTCCTTCAGTGTCTGGGGGGAGGGGGGGGGGACAACACAGGCATAGCACAGGCATGCTTGAGCTCAGTACATCGGTAGCAGCCTGCTATATTCAGGATATTTGTTAATTTTACTTCCACTAGACTAGTGGGAATATGCGTGGGGATCAAGTGCATGCGCAACCCTATGACTATGTCACATGGCAAGTGTGCCGGTAAAAGGTAGTGCAGTGCACATGATAACTGGCCACATATACATCCTGCTTGGAATGAGCACCGGTGCAGCCGGGCCGGTAACTGCACCGAGCAACCACAGCCCCAGAAGTGCGCTACTCAGCTGCTTCTGTCGGCAGTACTAGCATGCACCGAGGATACCGGACAAATATACTCGTACAACGTGCTGCATAATAAATATGGGTGAGATGCAGGATTCCACTGGGAAGGTCCTCATGGTCTGACTCACAGCCAGAGGTGTTCACAGGCCACCACAAATGTCATATCAAATTATGCTCCTGGCTAGGAAAAGTCCCGGTGGAACACAGCACTACACCAAGGTACATTTATAGTGGTGAGTGTACATTTGTAGATCGAACGTTGCAGCCATAGCCACAGCAGGGAACAATGGACGTGTAAGAAGGTCAACGGTTGCCAGTAGCACACAAATCCCAATACATGCACAGTACACTACGTAATGTAACAATAGAACGCAACATTACGTAACATGTATCTGTATCCAAACATGAAACGGTGTGGAGATGTGTGGAGATGTGTGGAGACCAGGAGATTGGGCACATGGGGCATAGGGCACTTCTGCTAAAGCTGCTCAAGCAGGGAGTAGTAAAGTATCAGTATTTTACTACTCTTTGGTTCAAGCTGCCTTGTGGGAAGCTGTGAGTGTGTAAATGGATGACATGCACATTGACCGTGCCGGGCGGCGGGGAGGGGAGGGCTGTTGTAGTTGCTGGAGGGTCAGGTGAGTGGCGATCGGGGCTGGGTTTCGCGGGGCGCGGGAGCGATGGGTGCGCGTTGGCGCCCATTGCCCACGCAATTTTGCGAGACCTGGCTCTTGCCATTTTGTCGACTTCTTGGTGAGTACTGTGGTCACCTCCTGGCCTGGAGTGGGTGGCGCGTGGGGCCGCCATGTTGGTGCTTGGAGGATCTGGGGTGGGGGCTCGTGGCTGGCTGGTGTCGGAATGACTCCTATGAGCTTGTGGGATTCGCTTCGGCACTGGTCGGCCCTGGCACCTCCAGCCCCCCCCCCCTTCCCTGGCTTCTGGATGGCTTCTATGCGCCACTTTCACGGCTCACATACTATCATCCTCAACATTGTAGTGCATCATGATACACGTGATAATATACAATGCATCCCTGCTATTTCCCCACCACACAAGTATGCTAAAGGTGTTCTACATGCTGTAAGGCGAAACTCGCGTGATCACTGAACATTTCCCGCAGCCCCGAATGGAGCTGAGGTTTTCGTGGCACTTTATGCCACCTCTTTTTCCTTGCCTACTGAAATGTTATGTGTTTGTCATCTCTGTCCACTTCTGCCGGTATACATGGTATATATGCTTTGTGAGTAGAAGTTTTGGTAATGCCGTCTGACGAGTGTTTTTTTTTCAGACACGAAACTCCGAGTACCGGCAAGGAAGGACCTGGTTGCACTGTTGATGTTTGTAAATTGTACTACTGGCTCTGTTCACTGGACATAGAGCACTATACGCAGCCTGTAGATCATGTAGATAGATGTACAGAGCAAGGTCAAGTCTTTGGGATGTATCCCTTGGCCACACCTCATCATATATTTTATATACAACCAGGTCTCATGTAGGTCTCGGGTAAGTTCAGTATTTCGGCTCTTCATTGTCCCAAAGAAGTCGGATCTTTTTCAAGTTTCGGTATGGGACATATGACGCCCTACCGGTACCCCGACTGGAAAAATTATTATTATTATTATTATTAACAAATTGTCATGTTGCGTGGTGATGTCTGCGGTATTCTTAATTTTCATAGCTATTAAAATAATTATACTATTATCTGATCTGGAGAGTCAGGATAAGAAGAGTGTTACTGTACAAAGAAAACAGCCATATTGAAACCGCTCCGGACCGGGGAAGGCACTCTTTTAGGAAGCCAATACTGCCAATAGAGACCATCTTTTAGAGGAAAGAAACAGTTCGCCCATTTTTCCATGTTCCACTATTGCCTTGTCACCGTAAAAATGCAACGTACAGGCGCACAGAGTGCCTGGAACGATCGATTCGTAGCGCATTTCGCTGTGCGAACTGAAAAATACTACAAAAATTGGGAAAGCATGAGTAGGTTAGTGAGCTATCAGAGTGGGAGACCTTACCCCCCTTTGGCTAGTACATGGCTGATGATGGGCCAGGCCCGAAACTTGATTTGGTGTAATATAAATTGATTGGAATGGCAGTAAAGAGACGGTCATTGGAGTTGAGAAGTGAAGTTTCATACATAATCGAATTACAGCACTGTATAAACACCTAAACCTAGGGGTGAAACGGTTCCATGTTTTTCATGTTTGGGTACCCTAATGCCAGCATAGTTTCCCACGGTTTGGGTATCGGTTCCATGCACTCTTTTCTCCAGACCGACAAAATGCATTCGTGACAATTACTTTTTAGAAAACATGTTTACGGGCAAGAACGAAACATCGGAGAGTCCATGTGCGAAGAAGATAATAGGGAGGTTTCGCTCTACGGAATTACGTACAAAAATAACGTAGGAACTGCACGGAATTTTCATACGTAAAAATCAGAGCTGTTGGGTTTCGCTCTACGTGATTTCTCCAAGACTGCTAAACATGCGTTGTTGCTTTGGAGACGCGTTGGCTGCATGCGCCCCACCGCATGCACCGGAACAAAAACCGCGTTTTCCATTTTATTTTGCACGTGGTGTACGGTGTGTGTACCTTGTGTTTCGTGCGGCTTGAACGTTGCCATGGACAAATCCGGAAAATGCGAAAAAAATTCAAAAAGTCCTACGGAGGACCCAACGTAGGAAAGAGCTTTCCTACGGAAATCCGTAGAGAGATTTAAGGGTGCGTTCTTATATTCTCTAGCTTCTAGAAGAAGAAGAAAAGAGAAGTCGAAGAAACTGGGATTACTCAAGAACGGGTCTCGAAGAATTCGGAGATATTTTGCACATGTCAAGCAAAATGAAGCGTCAAAGGGGCCGCGATCTTGAGTGATGAATGTATGTGCGTATGCGAAAAGGGAAATGCGTACACCCATGATAAACACGTGGCTTTTAGTCGTAGTTCGCATGCGCTGATCCCAAACCGCGGGAATCTCCAAGTTTCAACCACCTCTGAAGCTTGGAGAGCTTGGAGAGCTTTGGAGAGCCTCCTAAAAGTCGGAGAGGATATAAGAACAGCTCTCGAACTTTTCGGAGAGTCTCCAACTTTTCCGAGAGGATTTAAGAACGCACCCTAAGTATGAAAGTTGCCCTCGCTCCCTGGCGCGTATGACATACGGATTTTCATACGGAAAAACGTAGAGCGAAACCTCCCTAGTGACCTGGAGAATTTGACGGAACGGGTGCCTGATTCTTTTTTCAGCTGGCGGTTCCAAAACCGGTTCCTTACCCGGACAGCTTCACCCCTACCTAAACGCGTTAACGGCAAGGCTGCAACAAAGGCTCAAGCCAAGGGACTCCTAAACTAGAAAGTAGTAAATTACTACTAGTACTACCTGGTTAATGACGTACTACACTAATCACTAATACACTATTGCATGGTCAGTGTCCAACAGGGAGTCGTTTGGGCACGACTCCCTGCTGTCCAATGAATCAGTGTCCACCTCCGTCTTTCCTGCAGCACTTGGGCTGCTGCGTGTTGAATATAGTAGTGTTGTTGGAGAAATCCTTACTGTTATCACATGTTCAGCCGGGACATGTGTCTGTGTCACTGTGTCTGTCACTGAGCCGCAGGTAACTGGTTGCACCAGTTCAGTATTCGGGATCAGAGTATTTTGTCGTGATATGTATGATGCATCGATGGTTAAGTCTGTCTTGTGACGGTGCATGCGGCATATGTATATAATATAACCTAACCAGTTGATTATATGGGAAATATAAACCTGTATACAAACCGAGGCGAAGCCGAGGTTTGTATACAGGTTTATATTTCCCATATTCAACTGAGTAGGTTATATTATGCTTATACTGAGCTGATATACAAACTTCCCTAGTGTGATCCTAAAAAAAAAGGAGTTTATATACCAGTTTATACACCAGTTTATATACCAGTTTATATACCAGTTTATATTCTCGTCATCGAAGTACCTGTTATATGCAAAATACAAGTCTGGAGTGTTGTGCGGGGAGAGATGGGAGTTTGTATACAAGCTCAGTATAAAACTTATTATAAGGACGTCGTTGGCTGCATATGGCCGATTCACGAATCACGGACTACTCCCGCTTGCTTGAGGGACGTTTATAAATTATACAACGTTACGTTGTTGAAATGGTTACCATGCCAGTAGTGGCAGTACGGTCAGGATACAACTAACTTACTTTTAGGGTGTACGGTAGGTCTATAGGGAAGACTGCATGGCGATCCAGGTGATCCGGGTCGGCCGGGGCAAGCCAAAGGTGCTTCGTTTGATTTTCGAAATACATGTACAGCAAGTGGCTGGCAAAATACTGAGCGCAGATAGCAGTACTCTCTAGGTAGGCCTTTCAGTGCTAGTAGTATCGTCAATCAAAAAATACCTGACACAGTCGTCCTCGGCCTCGAGGAGTAGAACAGCCGGGGAGGCTTCCTGCTCACTGAATGATCGGCGAAAGAGTAGTGTTGCCACATTTACCGTACGTGATACGGAACCAATACTTCAAATGCTGGACTAAAATTCGTGGAGATGATCGGGATGGCCGAAGGTAGGTGATGGCGAAATCTTGCCTGCAGCTCACAAGAAAACTGTTGACGAAGACTTGCACAGCCCGAGTGTTTCAAGTCCCTGGTGCGACGCACAAGCGGGTTCCAAGGCCACGAGTATTTTTATTTGTATTTGTTTGGTACAACTACAAAGGTTATACATTGAGTTCGTAATCGTAGTCGTATCCGGTGTGGACGTTCGTCATCCAGGTGGCGGAGGACACAAAGCGGATCAAGTCGCTATCGATCAACGCAACAGACCAGTCCTCCGCGAGTGGAAGTAACAATAGTTTGCATTTTACGACTATCACTACTCGTATCAGTGGTGCGTGCTGGGAATGCCATCATGAAGACGTGGGGTGTTTACTCATTTGTAACGCTATTGCTACTACGCCTACTGTTGGCACTGAGCAGCTATGGCCCTCACGTGGTGCACGCCAGTTTGTTCGAGCATAAGAGCCATGGCCGTCATGAAGCACATCCTATGGTCCAGGAAGTGGACTCGCTACGACAACAGGTATCGCCGATGTTGTTGCGAAAGAAACAGCAACGGCAGCCCGGACCATTGGAACGGCTTATGGCTCAGCCACAAGAGAGCCTGCAAAGCTTTGTCGAGCACACCGATGTACGATTCCGCCGCCAGGCTTCAACTGGCGAAGGCACGTCGCAGGTCATCCTGGGTATTAGAAAAGTATTGGCGCCCTTGCTTGTGAGCTCAGTGGCCCAGTGTACGGATTTATTCACCCAGTTACTGAGCAACTGTGAAGCGTATGTGACTCGTGTGTTGCTAGAACAGTTGGTAATCCCTTTGAGAGCGCTACATAGTGCATACAGTTATATTGCTGCTAATTGCTCAAACCCTGCACAGAGTGTTGGTGTTGTACTGGCCGGTTGTCCCAGCGTGACCTGTGCCACGTTGGTCCCACAAGTTGCCATGTTAGACGTAGTAGTGACCAGCACTCGTACTTTGGTGGCTGGACAGACGGAATCCATCTGCAATGAGTCGGCGGACGCGATGGAGTTTGCTAGCACGACTAACACAGTGGTTCAGGCACTAGCAAGTCTGTTGCGAGGCCTCGACGCATCTGTTGACATACGTGGAATTTTAACATCAGCCGCTTTGCCTACTCCTGCTGGACAAGCATGTGGTGGTGTTTTTTTCACGTTCGGTTCACAACTAAGTAGCCTTGCTGACAACCTTTTGGCAGTGGCCAGAGTGCCAGGTCTTCTGAGCACGCTGCAAACGAACCTACCAACGCTGCAGGTGGTGCAGTTTGAGATACCGAGGAGAGTGTTTGCAGCATACCAATTCCTGGCCGATGCCGAGCTGGGTAATCGTGCGAATGCGGCCTACGTCAATGCCAGCATTTCATTCCTGCTCTGTCAAAACGTCTTTCCGAGCGAAGGTTATCAGCTATGCCCGTGGATGTGCCGCAACATCACCGAGCTCTTCAGACTGGCTGATAAGTTCCAGCTGGACAATGAGACGAGCAATGCCGGCGAGGACAGTACGGTCGTTGCACTGCTGAGAGAGCTGGGCGGCTCGTGTGTCAACGAGTCATCAGACTGGAAGCTCTGCAGTGACATCGACTGCCCGCCAAACGCACTGTGCGTGCCTGCTGTGAACCGAACCCAGCGTAACGATTTAACCCCAGCCGAGGTGGAGAGCAGCAGGGCGCAGGAGCGGGCATCTGGTGTGTGCTTTCTGAGCAAGTGTCCGTTCCCACTGCACAACACCAGCGTACCACAGCACTGGGACACCAAGGTACAGAACGTTCTACGCGCTGGCTTCGACGCCACAAACTCTCTTCTGAAGGAGATGAACCTGACATTCCGTGGAGATGTCTTGCCATGTGGCATGGCCTGCAATACGTTCACATTCCGTGACAACGATGAGCGCATCGCCAAGATAGTAGTGGGCGTGTTTGCATGGACACTGTTCGTAGTCAACCTCTTTGCTCTCATCTCCTTCTATCTGAACAGAGAGCGGCTGAACAAGTATCCTACCAAGGTACTACTCTATCTCAATCTGACCAGCTTCATTAGCAACTTGGCTACCCTCATTCAGTTTGTCACGCAGAAGAAGAGTTTTGTGTGTTTCGATGACGATACGTTACGCATGAGCGAGCCGTACTCGACCAGTGACCCAGGTAGCCGAGCGTGTACAGTCATCTTCATCCTGCTATTCTACTTTCTGCTGGTGTCCCTCTTCTGGTGGCTGGCTCTCGCGCATGCCTGGTACATAACGTTTGAGCGGCTGGACACGAAGGGCTTGCTGCCGGAGGACAACGACCGTTATTTGTACATCTATCACATAGTTGCCTGGACTGTACCGGCTATTCTCACCGGCGTCATGCTTGGAAAGCACTACATCGACGGCTTCCCGCTGATCGGTGTGTGCTTCACCAACAATGTCGACTCGCTGTTCGCCCTGCTCAGCATCCCGATTGTGGTGGTGGGCCTACTCGGCTTGCCGTTCCTGCTCAAAGGAAGTCTCAAGCTGCTACTGCACAAGAAGCACATGAACAAGATGAAGCATGTCCGGCGTCCATCGTCGCGTGCCGTGCGAAGTCACGCTGGCCTGCGCAACTTTCTCGTCAAGCTTATGATCATCATGATAATGAGCTTTATCAACCTGCTGGTAAGTGTTCTGCCTTTTCGCCGACGGTGTCAGTGTCTGCCGCTGCTGCTCCTGCTGCTGCTGCTGCTCCTGCTGCTGCTACTGTTGCTGCTACTGCTACTGCTGCCGTCCATTGCCTGGTGGCAGGTATGTACGAGGTGTGTTAGTATAATAATTATAGTATATATAGCAATGTTGTTGTGTTGGACACTGGTAGACTAGTTGGTGGATTGTACTCACACATTGTGATGATTATTTGCACTAGTGGCGTGTACTATTCCTAATGCCAGACACACAGTGCTGCTCGGTGAAATCCGATCGAGTGAGTCAAGTTTGTGCCCTGCACCAGTTCACAATCGCAGTGTTTGGAGGTCTAGGGCTGCACAGCGCCCGGCACCAGTTCACAATCGCAGTGTTTCTGCACCAGTTCACAATCGCAGTGTTTCTGCACCAGTTCACAATCGCAGTGTTTCTGCACCAGTTCACAATCGCAGTGTTTGCAGGTCTAGGGCTGCACAGCGCCCGGCACCAGTTCACAATCGCAGTGTTCGCAGGTCTAGGGCTGCACAGCGCCCGGCACATACTTGACTAATGTGATCGGATTTCGTTGAGCACCACTGTATTATTATGCACAGATAGCCAGGTGATTGCCTTGGTCTTTATCGTAGCTTTATTGACCCCACACATGGATGGCCATGTCTACCAGTGCAGCATCAGAATGTATGGAGAAGGGGGGGGGGGGGGGGGGGAGGTATGGCAGGCATTTTATTCATGGAGGCCATGCGTGCGTCTTGTACCGGTATGTACTTTTCAACATTGCAACAATTGACTGTGCTATGTAGCACTGAGTACACTAAGTCTTGTTCCGATGCTATGCCGTGTGCACAGGTGCAGTTTGCGGTGGGCTTGTTCATGCGCGTCAGCTGGAAGCAGTGGCGCAAAGAAATCGAAGACCACCTGGAGTGCGAGCTGACGCGGTGTTCAGCGGACACGCAGTGCCCGGCGCTGCCCAATCCCAGCGTCTTTCCTTTCCTACTCATCCCGGTCACTATCATTTTGGAAGGCTTAGTGCTGTGCTTCTGGGCGTTCACGCGCGATACCTGGCAGACTTGGCGCCAGACCACGCAGAAGCCAAGCCAGTTTTTCAGCAGAGCCACATCTTTGATCACGGGTAATGAGAAGCCGACTATTTCCAACATCACCGCCGCTCGCAAAGCGGCCAGGACACTGCGCGCAAAGGCGTCAGCTCGTCACAATAACCAGACAGGTCTCTCTGCCTCGGTTGCTCCAAGTGAAAGCTACACAGATGCATCCGCCTGGGATAATTCAGAAATGACAGAGTTTCCGAGTGTGGCACCAGACCGGTATGTGACAAGCGCAACCAGTGACCCGGCTATTCCAGCAAGCAACCCGAGTGACCGCACACCTGCAAACGGCAAACCCGCACCGGAAGGGCAAAAGAGTCGGGTAAAGATCAGCGTTGATGTTACGGCTATGCAGCCTACTGTCACCGAAGCACCGGCCACTGCTAGCAACGGCACAGGAACGCGGCTTGAACTGGATGAGATGCGACTGAGTCCCGGCGCTAAGCGCAGGGAGTTCCGCGATGCAGGTAGAGACACTAGCCGTGTTGTCAGTGAGTTAGACCTTGACGGTGGGGAAATGGCAAACGGTGGGACGTATTCTTCCCTACAAGAGAGTCCGGGTGCACGACGTCGCAATGTGGGCCTGGGTGATGCGGAGTCCAACATATCCGAATTGGCCGTGACACCAGAGACAGAGGGGTGCCCATCAAGAACATCATTGCAGCTCAATCCCAGTGCAACGTCCAGTAAATCACCAGTGCCTTCGCAGACGTACTCGCTGCAAATTGCCTACGAAGAATCGCAAATGCGCGGCAGAGCGGAATTGGCACTGCATTCCACGGAAGTGTAGAGAAATGCTGGCGGAGCAGTCTTAGTCTTTGTAAGTGGTATGTAACATGAACACTAGGTAAGCCATACTTTAGTTAGACTAGCTAGGTAATGCCCCAGTGTGATACAGGCTACTGTGGCTATACTGAGTATACGGTGATGACTGTTAGACACTTCATACTACTCATTGGTGTGTAACATGATCACCAATACTAATAGCCAGTGAGCTAAGAACTAAGCCTTGCAGCGGTGCTTACGTTCTCGTTGCTTGATTGTAACCTGTTCTTTTGTAAAGCATGGCACAGAGTCTGCTGCTGCTGCTGCTTGCATATGCAGTGGCAGTGTCTTGTTTCTATAATGTGACATTCTCCTGGTGGGAATCAATACTTGCTAGTGTCTGGGTGTGGCGCACACTGGTTTGTGTCTCACCCCTGTCTCTTGATAGTAGCCTTTTGCTCGTTTGTCAGCTAGTAGTAGGCCATATGTTAGATATGTTTCATATGTTGCTAGAATTTGATTGTCTTGAGCTGTGCATGTGTGGCGTGTGTCTAGTGATAGCCAACTAGTAGTAGCGCTAGTAGCTAGGAATATAGCGTTTCGGGGCATGTATATAATATATACATACACCTCTCTCCCTCTCTTCCTCACTGTAGTTCTGTAGTTGCGGGAATACTGTCCCTGCTATTTACAATATGAATACAACTGTACATATAGCGTAGCTGAGGAGGCACACAATTTCAGTAACTTTTAGCACACTTTTATTTACTATTTCCGGCATCACACTGCTTTGGGTTTCTATTTTCACACAGTTTTTATAGCCAGTGCCAACAGTGCACCGCCACTCCTTCACTTTTGCGTGCAACGCTTGATATTCTTCGTCAGAACATCATTTCAGATGTTGTGATTTGACTTTCTAAATAATTCAAAGTGTTTTTTTTTTCCAATTGCACTCTTGACAGTTCCAGTGAAGTGTAAAAAAACTACAATGTTCACACTTTGAAGTCGATTAGAAGACTTCCAGCTTTCTCCAGTGTCTTTTTTGCTTTCTTTTCTGTTGACGGTGGGTGTGATTTGCGAAGAGTACATAGGAAATCCTCTTATTGAGTTGTTGTATGGTGTGACATTCATCCGAGGGTTCTGGGTCACAAGTGGTATCTGGAGTCACTTGTGCAGTAGAATGTGTGTTCTAGTGACAAATTATGTGACACTTTCCCCTGCAAGTACCATTTACCACCCACATAACAAACTCTGGGAGTTCAGCCCAATTCTCCAGAAATGAAAATTGTGCACCAGCAGCCACAGCAGCCAAAAGGCAGAGAACAATTAAGCCACACCCCGCAATGCTGCTGTTGCCACTGATACTGCTACTATAGGCTCTGTCTGGTGTTCTTTGGTAGGCAGTAAGTCAGGATTGACAGCATGTCTGTGTAGTAGCACCATGACTCAGTATGAATATGAAGGGTGAAATGCATGAACAGTCCATGCAGTTTTGCTGTACTGTACTCAGCCACACCAGTACTGCACTCACACTACTAACAGCAGCTTTTGAAAGCAACATGTCAAATTCTCAATGCCAAAGCCTATCTACAAGCCTATTTACAACTATTAGTATTACCAGTATTACTTACAAGTACATGTACATGTATCTACACTACACTACAGTCTACAGTGATAAGCCAAGTCACGTAAGTGGAGCCCTTTTTATCACCCAGTGAGCATTCCAGCACATTCCGGGCAGCTAGAAACATGCTCTGGCTAGATAGATTCCTGTCATAGTTGACCAGCACTGGGATGTGCTGCACACTAATCGGGTACACAGGTCTAAAGTACACACACTGCAAGGAAACCTTGTTCCTACTACATGTAGAATCTCAGTGACTACCCAGTGCTAGTACTTAGTAGTACAATGTAGCATTCAAATGGGTTGAGTTCTTTGTCCATTGTTCTTCTAACATTTTGCTGATAGTAATAAAAACGTTGTGTATTTGCACTGTTCAGCTGAGTCCATTCATAAAAAGATGGGCCCTGGCTCTGGTGAGCTCCAGTACTTGGCGATTTTCCGTGATTCTGCTGTACACAGTGCAGTGCTGGCTGCTAGCATGCTGCGAATTATTTTGAAATTTGAAAAAGGGTCCAAAAAGGGTACCTGGATGGACTGGGGTTCGAACAGCGCGATGCACTGTTGCAGGCGGGGTCAAACGGCCTGGATTCAAGTTTGATGTTTTTTCCCCAATTCAGTGCTTTTGGGGCAAAACCTGGCTGAAATCCTATTCTTGTTAGAACTTGCTTATTGGAGAAGAAGATTTCAGAAACATAATTGGAAGAGGATTCCATATGCAGAAAAAATCTAAAAAAACTCAAAGTTTGATCCATTTATAGTCAAAAGCTAGAAGTCTATCTTTTCATGAATGGACTGTAGACGAGTGTAGTACGAGTACAGAACTACTATTACTAGCACTTGAAGTACGGTATACCATAGCACTGGCATGCACACTACTAGTACCTCCTACAGCACTGCCAGAGTAGTGCTCCACTAGTGCACTCCACATGACTCCAGTCTAACTGCTACAGTAACTGCCCGCATGCCAAGCAATTACAACCAGTTGAGTTAGACTGGAGTCACGTGGAGTCACGTGTAGTGGAGTACTCTAAGCCTAAGTGCCTCACTAGCTGTGCTGCATGCAGTACACTTGGAGTTGGAACACCAGTGTTTGCACTACGCTCACTGCATGCAGGCAAGAAGACACTCCATTGGCATTGTGCTGCAGTACTGAGCAACTCTTTCTCTAGAACACCTTGACTCAGTGTTATCACAGTTCAACTTATCAGCACTAATACTAGTAATAGTATGTCGATATGTCACAGCTTGAAGACATTTTTGTGATGTTTTCACTTCTCACCCTTATGGAGCACATGACCACACACAGTGTAACCCTAAAAGACCAAAAAAGATGTGCACAATACTGAACAAGACCTGCTGAAGCAAGACTGGGAAGACACACACACACACACACACACACACACACACACACACACACACACACACACACACACACACACACACACACACACACACACACACACACACACACACACACACACACACACACACACACACACACACACACACACACACACACACACACACACACACACACACACACACACACACACACACACACACACACACACACACACACACACACACACACACACACACACACACACACACACACACACACACACACACACACACACACACACACACACACACACACACACACACACACACACACACACACACACACACACACACACACACACACACACACACACACACACACACACACACACACACACACACACACACACACACACACACACACACACACACACACACACACACACACACACACACACACACACACACACACACACACACACACACACACACACACACACACACACACACACACACACACACACACACACACACACACACACACACACACACACACACACACACACACACACACACACACACACACACACACACACACACACACACACACACACACACACACACACACACACACACACACACACACACACACACACACACACACACACACACACACACACACACACACACACACACACACACACACACACACACACACACACACACACACACACACACACACACACACACACACACACACACACACACACACACACACACACACACACACACACACACACACACACACACACACACACACACACACACACACACACACACACACACACACACACACACACACACACACACACACACACACACACACACACACACACACACACACACACACACACACACACACACACACACACACACACACACACACACACACACACACACACACACACACACACACACACACACACACACACACACACACACACACACACACACACACACACACACACACACACACACACACACACACACACACACACACACACACACACACACACACACACACACACACACACACACACACACACACACACACACACACACACACACACACACACACACACACACACACACACACACACACACACACACACACACACACACACACACACACACACACACACACACACACACACACACACACACACACACACACACACACACACACACACACACACACACACACACACACACACACACACACACACACACACACACACACACACACACACACACACACACACACACACACACACACACACACACACACACACACACACACACACACACACACACACACACACACACACACACACACACACACACACACACACACACACACACACACACACACACACACAGCCAGTGCTGTATCCCTACCTCAATGATAACCGCCGGACAATCCAACTTCTGGGCCATCTCCAGACGAAGACTGACGTCATCTGTCTTCCGCAAATACTTCACCACCTCCTGAGCCAGGAACATGATAATAGCATTACGCATAGACAACTTGTTTTACAGATACTTGTACTTTGTAGAGTACAATGAGCCCACCGTGTCACCTGGCCAAACGGCCAAAAGGTTGGGAGAGCAACAATCATTACCAAAGTAATTAGTTCACAAATTGTAACAACATAATCTGAAGACAACGTTTTTAAGAAGAATGATAACGAGTTAGAATGAGGAGAACTAGAAGAATCCATGATGATTCACTTCGTTGGTAGAACTTGCCTGTCGTCAGGGGGAAAGGTGCCATACTACCATGGACACTCTTTACCAGGACACAATGTGTTACAAGGAGAAAGAGAGGGGACCTAAACTTGGTACCCTTGCCTGTCGTCAGGGGGAAAGGTGCCATACTACCATGGACACTCTTTACCAGGACACAATGTGTTACAAGGAGAAAGAGAGGGGACCTAAACTTGGTACCATGTACCACTGAGCGTGGCCCGAAAAAGGATAATGGCTGCTATCCTCATAAGGGTTGCAATGCAGGGGGAACCGGGGGGGGGGGGGGGTACCGGGGTGGAATGCAGAAGGCAGCATCAGGGTCATAGCCCTGGGATCTCTGGTGGTCTGGCCAAAAGAGATACTTGAACGGAAATGAACATTACCGTAAAGTACCGCGAGAGCGCCTCTTCTCGCCAGAGCGCCTGACCTTGATTTTACAGCCAGGGAAAGGAAAATCGTATCGCAGAGTGCAACTAAGTGTGTGCGGTGTGAGAACCTTAGTGTACTAAGGTCACACTTAATCAACAGGTTTTGTGTGGAGCTCGCGTCCGCTCGAATACAAATTGAGTACGGGTTGACTGCAGAACGTGCAATGTGTGTGTGTGCCATATGATCTACAGACAAGACACCACCTCCACAACACAAGCACGAAAAGGACGAGATGGCGGGGCACCTCTTGCGGTACTTTCAATGATATTTCAATCAGGGACTGCTGGGTTTTCAATCAGGGACTGCTGGGTTTTCAATCAGGGACTGCTGGGTTTTCAATCAGGGACTGCTGGGTTTTCAATCAGGGACTGCTGGGTTTTCAATCAGGGACTGCTGGGTTTTCAATCAGGGACTGCTGGGTTTTCAATCAGGGACTGCTGGGTTTTCAATCAGGGACTGCTGGGTTTTCAACCCTGGATCTACATGTACCAGTGCACACAAATTGGGTGGGTCAAAATAAGGTCCGGCCCTGGCCAGACCGGGTGCTACGGCCCCCGAGAATGTAGAAGCGATGCAATGTAGAATACAGGCTATGCATGTACGAGTACTCCATGCCAAAAGTGGAGTCCACTGATAAGGTGGTTATATTCGGAAGACTACTGATGGCAGCTACGTGGTTCGAAAGCGCCCTGAGGCAGAACACAGATTCGCATGCAGTGCACAAAGGCTTTCGTAGATCTAGTATGGTTTTCTTTTCACCAACGGTAGTGCGGAACATCTCTATTATTATTCCAACAGTGTTGATACAGGAGAAGTCATTTTAGCACTAATTTAGGTTGCACTGTTTGTCAGCCATCGTAATTGATTGAACTACTGTATCTATGCCATGTGATGTGAAACTCTGCTGTCGCAGCACTGGATACACACAGTGCAGGACAGGTGCACACTGTTGAGGCTATCTGCTTATGGGATGCTTTCTTTCGCTTGGAAAATGTCACAGGTAATCGAGTTGCAACCGCTGCCAGAAAACATATCCCCGTGGAGGTGAAAAGTGTTACTGGTCAGCTACGCAACGAATGGACAATCCCAGAATTAATGTTCTTAGCTTACATCTCTCAATTCGGGGACGCGTCCTCAAAGCGTTTACATTGGAGAAGTTCTCCAGCACATGTCCACAACTTGACGTAACTTACAGACGGGAAGGAGTAGAAGTTATTAAATAATTAAAAATACACACAAGTATAGAATAGCAAGCTACAGTGCTGCTCTCAATGAAATCCAATCACGCGAGCCATATAGCCATGCTGCATGCTGTGCAGCCCTGGACCTGCAAACACTGGGCGGTGATCTTGTGCAGAGCGCACGCTTGACGCACATGATCAGGTTTCATTGAGCAGCAGTGTACGCCATGTACAGTGCACACTACGAGTGCATTGCATAGCAGCAGCTAGGACTGCCAAAGCACATTGTAGCTGCATGTACTGCCAAGAGTGCATAAACAAGAGTATGCAACTGTGGTTATGGGTCAGTGCGCGGCGCGCTGCCTTTATTACGTAACTTGCCTTCATCACGCTCTGAAAGCATGCATTCAAACTCACAATTTCTCGTACGAGCCCATCTGTTTTTGCTCGATTCGTTCCAGTACCTTCGCGATCTCTAAATTCTGGCGCGTGAACTCCAGTTCCGTACGAAAGTTCACTTCAAACCAGAGGAAAAGTGCGGTGTTTGATTTTCCGCAGAGCGTGGACTGCAGCTGAATGATGCAATGAAGGCAGCGCGCCGCGCATCTGGCCCATAGAAAAGAGATCACAGTTGCATACTCTTGTTTATGGACTCTTGGTACTACTACTCACGTCCTCTGGAGCGCGCATTTGCCGGAGAATCTCGGCTACCTTTTCAAAGCCAATGGCAGCCTTTTGGTTCTTACGACCAAACCATCCCTAGAGAGACAGCACGGAAAACGGCAAAAATCACAAAAAAAGGAAAGCAGGGAAGGGAGAAGGGAGAATGCAGTGAATTTCACGATGTTGGTGCATCAGAGCGAGTCATCAACATTTCAGTAGGTGATATTCTCCTCCGGCGTCTATATAGTGGTTAGTCCGGAACACCGTAGATAGTTTACAGACTAGCTACCACACATGCACACACATGCACATATCCACACACAAACACACACACACAAACACACGCATGCACACAAATGCATGTACACACACGCGCAAGCGTGCGCACACGCACACATGCATGCATGCACAAACACACACAAACACACACACACACACACACACACACACACATACCCACAAACACACACATGCACACACAAATATACAAAACACACACATGCACACACAAATATACACAAACACACACACACACACACACACACACACACACACACACACATGCACACACACACACACTTACCGTAACTGTCAGCAACCTCTCTTCGATGCCCTTGTAGTCTCGTGCCTTTGAGCGGGCACCTATAGCCATCCACATATACTGGCGGTCAGTCAGCTGGTTATCAGTGAAGGACAAACAGACACAACTGTGAGAGAAAAACAGTAAAGTACATATATAACCACTGTCGCATACTTATCCCATTTACAGAAGTTTGCATATATCGCACTAAGCTACTGTCCACAAACCGCATGGTTCTACATGTGACCAACTAGGTAGACCCGGAACATAACAGTAAGGAGTACAGCTCATATCCTGGAAATGGTCCAGAGTACTAGCAGTGCACAATCGCACACACATACAAACACACACACACACACACACACACGCACGTACGTACGTACGCACACACACACACACACACACATAGGCACGCACGCACACATATGCACGCACGCACACACACACACACACATATACACAAGCAAACGCCGACACGTACCCCAAACACAACACCATACACAAGAGAGAGAGAGAGAGAGAGAGAGAGAGAGAGAGAGAGAGAGAGAGAGAGAGAGAGAGAGAGAGAGAGAGAGAGAGAGAGAGAGAGAGAGAGAGAGAGAGAGAGAGAGAGAGAGAGAGAGAGAGAGAGAGAGAGAGAGAGAGAGAGAGAGAGAGAGAGAGAGAGAGAGAGAGAGAGAGAGAGAGAGAGAGAGAGAGAGAGAGAGAGAGAGAGAAAATTGATCTCA